CAGAGTGGTACATGCATTCACACAGTCATGATTTATAGGATCCTTCCCACTATATGATTGATATGTCAAGTGATAAAATCCCAAATGATCAATTAAAGGTTTATGGAAAAACTGCACTTGTCCTCATGTGAAAATTACAGTTTATTAAATATTCTAAAGCTGTAATGTCATCAATCAAATCAAACTATTTATATAGCACATTTCTTACAACTAATGCATTGAAAGGCATGTGGCACTTAACATCCTTTCTTTTGACGGTCTCTATAGGGTGACCAGGGGATTCTCTACCACATGCGAATGCCTCCGTGCTCATAAGTGTAGCCATGCAGCCTATTTTAGCAGTTCACAATATCGGCCGTACGGATGTGGAATGAGAGTTGAGGAAGCCAGCTGTGCCCAACTAGGTGCAGTCAGTGGAGGACCTGTACCCGTTACTCCATCGCTGCTAAATAGGGTCCTCAGATCAGTCGTTGGATGGGGTGTTGTCTGTAAAATGGGGCACAGATAATGAAGAAGAGGGCATCAAAGCATTCAAATGGCTACAGGGATGGATGTGCAGGAGTCAGGGCTTTGGGTCACGGGGTCTGGGATCCTGGGTGCCTCACCGGATGATCTGGTGGGTACCACAGCAGTGGAGGTCAAGTGTCCCTATGGTGCAAGGGACCTTACCATTGAAGAGGAAGTGAAGTCGAAAGATGTCTATATTAAGGAGGGAGGGTCTTACAGCCTCTGTGAAGACCATCCTTACTGGCACCAGGTCCAAGGTCAGCTCCACATCACTGGAAGGGACACCTGCTTCTTCGTTGTGTGGACCACCAAAGACTCCATCACCATCCAGTGTGACGACCTCTGACAGACTCATATTGCTCCTCATGTCAATACCTGTTTTCAGGGAAGCCAATGGTCCAAAAATATTCCACATAGTTCACACACACACACTAGGCTGCCCGAATAGGTTATATTACATACAAGTTTTGCTCAAAGCAGCCAACTAAAGTAATGTAGTTAACTTTTATCATGGGCACAGTAAGAATTCACAATGCATTTGAAAAGGATTCAGACCCCTTCCCTTTTTCCACATTTTGTTACATTACAACCTTATTCTAAAATTGATTAAATAAATGTCCTCATCAATCTACACACAATATCCCATAATGTCCCATAATATCCCGAAAACAGGTTTTTAGAAATTGTAGCAAATAAATAAAAAACCTAATTTACATACATATTTGAACCCTTTGCTTTGAGACTCGAAATTTAGCTCAGGTGCATCCTGTTTCCATTTATCATCCTTGATGTTTCTACAACTTGATTGGAGTCCACCTGTGGTAAATTCAACTGATTGGACATGATTTGGAAAGACACACACCTGTCTAGATAAGGTCCCACAGTTGACAGTGCATGTCAGAGCAAAAACCAAGCCATGAGGTCGAAGGAATTGTCCGTAGAACGCCGAGACAGGATTGTGTCGAAGTACAGATCTGGGGAAGGGTACCAAAACATTTCTGCAGCATTGAAGGTCCCCAAGAACACAGTGGCCTCCATCATTCTTAAATGGAATACGTTTTGGAACTACCAAGAATCTTCCTAGAACTGACCGCCCGGTCAAACTGCGCAATCGGGGAGAAGGGCCTTGGTCAGGGAGGTGACCAAGAATCCAATGATCTAAAACTGGACGCTTGTGCTCGGGTCACACTGGCACAGGATGTCCATGCACCGGATGGCCTGAGGGATGCACTCCTGTTGGACAAAAACAAAGACATTTGGTCAGTGGTGGGACTTTTTCAATGCTGTATCACCATCTTTATCTGGACAGAAAATGCATCGTTTATCATAACACAAACCCACCTTGGACAATGTGACAAGAGATCCCTCAAAACCCAATCCTCATGCCTCATTTTTTGTTGTTGTTTCCCAATCAACAGTCTAGATCTTCCTCTTCTGCCATGGTGGATGAGCTACCTTTTTTGGTAAATACAGGGCCATTTCTCTTTCCCACCGGAAAATGGCAGCCACAGACCCGAGTGTTGTCATTGGGTTTCCGGTCCACCCATCTGAAAGACCCCCCAAAAAAGTTACTTTTACTAGCTAGCTAATTTGATTAATAAAATGGTAACATCTACACTACCAGTCAAAAGTTTGGACACACCTACTGATTCAAGGGTTTTTCTTTAATTTTACATTGTAGAATAATAGTGAAGACATCAAAACTATGAAATAACACATGGAATCATGTAGTAACCAAAAAAGTGTTAAACTATTCAATATATATTTCAGATTCATCAAATAGCCACCCTTTGCCTTGACAGTTTTGCACACTATTGGCATTCTCTCCACCAGCTTCATGAGGTAGTCACCTGGAATGCATTTCAAATAACAGGTATGCCTTCTTAAAAGTTAATTTGTGGAATTTCTTTCCTTCTTAATGCGTTGGAGCCAATCAGTTGTGTTGTGACAAGGTGGGGGGGTATACAGAAGATACCCCTATTTGGTAAAATACTTTAAGACATGAAGGTCAGTCAATACGGAACATTTCAAGAACTTTGAAAGTTTCTTCAAGTGCAGTCGCAAAAACCATCAAGCGCTATGATGAAACTGTCTCTCATGAGGACCGCCACAGGAATGGAAGATCCTGAGTTCAGCCCAAATAAATGCTTCAAAGAGTTCAAGTCAGAGACACATCTCAACATCAACTGTTCAGTGGGGATTGTGTGAATCAGGCCTTCATGGTCGAATTGCAAAGAAACCACTACTAAAGGACACCAATAAGAAGGCGAGACCTGCTTGGGCCAAGAAACACAAGCAATGGACATGCATGGAGGAGGAGGTGTTATGGTGTGGGGGTGTTTGCTGGTGACACTGTCTATGATTTATTTAGAATTCAAGGAACACTTAACCAGCATGGCTACCACAGCATTCTGCAGTGATACGCCATCCCATCTGGTTTGGGCTTAGTGGGGCTATCATTTGTTTTTCAACAGGACAATGACCCAACACACCTCCAGGCTGTGTACAGGCTATTTTATCAAGAAGTAGAGTGATGGAGTGCTGCATCACTCTACATGACCTGGCCTCCACAATCCCCTGACCTCAACCAAATTGTGATGGTTTGGGATGAGTCTGACTGCAGAGTGAAGGAAAAGCAGCCAACAAGTGCTCAACATATGATGGAACTCCAAGACTGTTGGAAAAGCATTCCAGGTGAAGCTGGTTGAGAGAATGCCAAGCGTGTGCAAAGCTGTCATCAAGGCAAAGGGTGGCTATTTGAAGAATATAAAATACATTTTAATTTGTTTAACACTTTTTTGGTTACTACATGATTCCATATGTGTTATTTCATAGTTTTTATGTCTTCACTATTATTCTGTATATTAAAATACCATAACCCAGACTTGGTGGACAGGTGGATCGTCTTAAGGGGACTGACATGCAGGGATGTAACAATGATTTTAGGCACTGGCCAGCAGACCACGATTTCTATATTCTGGTCCTAAATCTGTGGCATGCAATGTTTGTAAAGGCAAAATTTCACTGTATCAGGCTAGTTTGGCATATTGTCTACTAGCCCAGTCTGAACAGTACTAGCCTCAGGCTAGCTTAATTTGTCAATAAAAAGGTCACAAGTCACTATGCTAGCCTATGTTGTTTTCTTTTTACTTGTAAGGAAGGTAACGTGCATTGTACACCTAACTACTGTCGGTGGTTATCTAACTAATTTTCATAAGCACCTAGCTAACCACATCTTTGACCTAACCAAAATAGCTTGTTATAGCCGCTAGCAAACAGGGCTTAACTTATCACACCGCTCCAGCGACGCCTCTCGATTACAGAGGTCAGAAAACGATTAAATGCATGTGTGTGCTTATCAGAGTAGTGGTTACAAACCGGTACATAGCACAGAGCCATCCTTGCTTCTGATCGATGGAGACCCAAGGTTAGCTAGTAACTTAGTTCGCTACAAACGCCAGAGGGTCATTCAAAAAAAGTATAGTAATATAAAAATGCTAAGCTAGCTAGCTAGGTAATTTGAAAAATGCTAGACAAGAATAAACAAACACTATCAATTATTTACATGAGAAACTAAAAAGGCTATAATATCTACTTGTTGATGAGTTTGCATGGAGAAACGTGCCTTGAGGGATGATAAAGCTTGTAGCTCAGTTGGTAGAGCATGGCGCTTGCAACGCCAGGGTTGTGGGTTCGTTTCCCACGGGGGGCCAGTATGAAAATGTATGCACTCACTAACTGTAAGTCGCTCTGGATAAGAGCGTCTGCTAAATGACTAAAATGTAAATGTGACAAGATGTCTAGTTCTGTATGATTAATTAGAGGCGAATATATTGATAAAAGTTACCTTGGCCAAGAGATATTTGCACGGTTATCAAAACGTCACGCCAGGGTAAGCCTACACGAAACACAGACCTTAATATTAAGTAGTTTTAAAATCCCAGAGGGAAAAATGAATGGTGAAAAAACGATTAGAACCATTTCCGGGTTCTACCTCTAGGTTTTATGGGTATTATGACTAAAACTGTGGTACTCATGCCACGTTCAAAACAACTGGGAACTCGGAAAAATACGACGTCAAATCATAACGTCAGTGATCTTCAGGTCGCAAAGGCCGGGGCTCTAGAAAGAGACCCGAGTTCCCGAGTTGGAATTTTGAGTTGGATGACCGTTCAAATCGATTTTTCACAGTCGGAGCTCGTTTTTTCCGAGTTCATAGTTGTTTTGAACGCACTGAAGTCTGAGATTTCCGATTTACCAGTTGTTTTGAACGCGGCAACAATGGCCAATACATAGCATTAGCAATCCAGGGTTTATATACGTAATTGGTTTCTTTACTGTATTGTTAACCCTGGCCACAGGGATTCGGTTGGTCTTGTGAAGTGTCAATCTACAGATTTCCCGCCCTTTACATAAGGTAGGGGCGTCTCTGTGTGACATCATTTGCCAAACTTTTCAACATGGCGATACAACGAACTGAAGAGATCGAAGCAATGGAAAATGCGAACCTAACTTCGCATCCTGGCTTCAGCAACGACAAGTATTCTATCCTCGTCATTGTCGGTGAACATAGTGGGACTGGATTTGTGGACTACATGGTTGCGGAGATAAAGAGAGGTAATGTGGCCCAATGTTGACTGAATTAGCGCCAGCCCGCGCTTCCACCTCCTGATTTGGCTCGAGCTAGCGCGGTTAGTACAGCTAACGTCGCATACTGTAGTACTGCACCTTCAAGTATATTTAGTCAACAAATGGTTCTAATTGCAAATCAACACACAAATCAGCCAATTGCCACACAAATATCCCACTAGTCTCGTGAATTTATGCAAGTATTTTCCACGACGAAATACAACGTCAAAGATGATGCCACATGCAACCCCCGTTTGTAGTAGACATTAAATAGAAAGATAAGGATAGAAGAAGCCAGCAAGAGATATAATAGCAAGAAGGATGTTGGATCTCCTGGCATAGGGCATCTGCATGGTGTGTTAGTGTAAGTTCACAAAACAAAATGGGCAATATTAATAACGTGGTATGGTTGAATGAATCATATTAACAATATGTCAATATTATAGTGTATTAATTTAGTATACACAGACAGTTATTTTACTTCAAATCTGATTTACCAGTTGATCACGAGCTTCGGATGATCTTTCCTGATCACAGGCAAATCGTGAAATTAGGCCAGCTGTCAATCAGACCATAAACTAGACAGCTAGGTTAGCAACTGAAGTTTACATTTTGCCTGACCATTTTAAATAGTTTAATGTTAAGAGACCAAGTAATGCAATGGTATGGTTTAACACTTGCTCTATAATGATTAGTTAAGAAATGTACATCCTAAATACTTTCTACAATATATCCGAATCCATATTTTGTGTAAATTATCATTCATTCATTCATTTATTTACATTTTTTAACACATTTCAGCACTGCATAAAGTTTTTTAACACCCATTTCACAGTAATCATTCTGGGATTCAAATGTCAGACATGTCCCAAACCCTTCCTCCAAATTACAAGGCTTCATTTTTTGTTACCTTACCAAGAATGACTCAGTATGATGTGCAGGTGGTCACCAGAGTTCTAATTATTGGCTATGATAACCTTATTATTGAAGCATATTCTGAAGTTTTACTATACTGTTTTGTTACCAGCATATAAAGCTTGGGCAGCTAAGCTGAATTTTGTCTTCTCTTCTCTGTCTGTACACCATAAAATATTGTTCTTGCAACAGTCTTGATGACTGCAAGTGCCTTTGAGTGAACTAACTTAACTGTGCACTTCTATCATGAGTCGCATTTATTTCAATGACATGATTATATGACATGATGCAGAGTTGCCTCGGGTGTCTGGTAGTGGGCAGGGGCTCCAGTTTGTGTGTGGAATTTGCTTGGCTGATAGTGTTGAGAAATCCAATAGCTGTCATTTCCCCCCTCTGATTAGCTGAGGGATGCTGTTTTATGCTGAGCTCATCTTCTACAGACGAGCATTACTAGCCACACTGCAGATCACTCTTTCATCCAATGACAACAAGCCAATGGAAGGGCTCAACATTTGTACCCTCTGCTCTATCTAAGGAGCCAAATAGCTTTTGCCTCACTTTCCAAGGACATTGCTCCAGAGAAAGGTGCAGATGTTTGTTTAGTAAACACAGCGTTAAACACATTGAGCAGGCGAATACATTTTAGATTACATTTAGCCTACGTTGTATCTTGCTCATCCCTTTAAGACGGCTTGTCTTGGAGGAAGGTTTATCTTGGCTTGCATCCATAAGATGCACTGTGTTTAATGACTTCAGTCTGGTTCCAAGATGCCACTGTGCTGGACTTCTGGAGGTTTCTCACCGTGGAGGGACTCCACTGTGCACTGACTGCTCCAGGGTCAAGACGGGATCATTGTAAAGGTCTGGCCTCTCGAGACCACTCAAGACCTCAGGATCCTCTAGTCTCACACTAAATCATCATAGTGTGTGTGAGTGCACAGAGCAGCACAGAAATGGTGGGGCATTTTCCCCAAGCTTGTAAAGGTTTTTTGTAAGGGTGCCTTCTTCTTGCTGTTTGTTTTAGTTTAATTACTAACATACAGCCCTGTGCATCTGTCAGGGTGTTGCCTTAATAGCTCTGACTAGTAGAAAGAAACAGTTTGCGGTGAGCTTAAAACACTCCAAAGACAGGGTCATTCACAAAGATTGTTTGTCACTTGCTTGTAGCTGATTTTTTCCCCACTCATGCTTCAATGAATAGCAGGAAATGGTATTTCCAAATAACATCAACATCCTGATTTGTGTGTCACCCCTGTGTAGCGTTACACAGTTAATGGAAGCATATGAGATTTTTATTGCCTCCGGCTACTTAGAAAATGAGTAACAAATCAAATGGTGATGAGTGATTCCTCACGAAACACAGACAAAAAAATACCATGATTTGGGGGATTTTCACAAAATGTAATCCATAGAATAGTCCTTTGGCGGAAGGATTGTTGACATATACAGTACATTTGGAAAGTATTCAGACCCCTTCCCTTTTTCCACATTTTGTTACGTTACAGCCTTATTCTAAAATTGATTACATGTATTTTTTCCTTCATCAATCTACACACAATACCCTATAATGATAAAGTGAAAGCAGGTTTTTAGAAAGTTTTGCAAATGTATTAGATATTAAAAACAAAAATACCTTATTTACATAAGTATTCAGCCCCTTTGCTATGAGACTCGAAATTGAGCTCAGGTGCATCCTGTTTCCATTGATCATCCTTGATGTTTCTACAACTTGATTGGAGTCCACCTGTGGTAAATTCAATTGATTGGACATGATTTGGAAAGGCACATACCTGTCTATATAAGGTCCCACAGTTGACAGTGCATGTCAGAGCAAAAACCAAGCCATGTGGTCGAAGGAATTGTCCGTAGAGCTCCGAGACAGGATTGTGTCGAGGCACAGATCTGGGGAAGGGTACCAAAACATTTCTGCAGCATTGACGGTCCCCAAGAACACAGTGGCCTCCATCATTCTTAAATGGAAGAAGATTGGAACCACCAAGACTCTTCCTAGAGCTGGTCGACCGGACAAACTGAGCAATCGAGGGAGAAGGGCATTGGTCAGGGAGGTGACCAAGAACCCGATGGTAACATTTACATTTACGTCATTTAGCAGACGCTCTTATCCAGAGCGACATACAAATTGGTGCATTCACCCTATAGCCAGTGGGATAACCACTTCACAATTATTATTATTTATTTTTTTTGGTAGAAGGATTACTTTATCCTATCCCAGGTATTCCTTAAAGAGGTGGGGTTTCAAATGTCTCCGGAAGGTGGTAACACTGACAGAGCTCCAGAGTTCCTCTGTGGAGATGGGAGAACCTTCCAGAAGGACAACCATCTCTGCAGCACTCCACCAATCAGGCCTTTTATGGTAGAGTGGCCAGATGGAAGCCACTCTTCAGTAAAAGGCACATGACAGCCCGCTTGGAGTCTGCCAAAAGGCACCTAAAGGACTCTCAGACCATGAGAAACAAGATTCTCTGGTCTGATGAAACCAATATTGAAGTCTTTGGCCTGAATGCCAATCGTCAGGTCTGGAGTAAACCTGGCACCATCCCTACGGTGAAGAATGGTGGTGGCAGAATCATGCTGTGGGGATGTTTTCAGCGGCAGGGACTGGGAGACTAGTCAGGATCGAGGGAAAGATGAACAGAGCAAAGTACAGATATCCTTGATGAAAGTGCTCAGGACCTCAGACTGGGGCAAAGGTTCACCTTCCAACAGGACAATGACGCTAAGCACACAGCTAAGACAACGCAGGAGTGGCTTCGGGACAAGTCTCTGAATGTCCTTGAGTGGCCCAGCCAGAGCCCGGACTTGAACCCGATCGAAGATCTCTGGAGAGACCTGAAAATAGCTGTGCAGCGACGCTCCCCATCCAACCTGACAGAGCTTGAGAGGATCTGCAGAGAAGAATGGGACAAACTTCCCAAATACAGGTGTGCCAAGCTTGTAGCGTCATACCCAAGAAGACTCAAGGCTGTAATCGCTGCCAAAGGTGCTTCAACAAAGTTCTGATTAAAGGGTCTGAATACTTACTTGTTTCAAAAAAGTATAAAATATAAATAACAGAAAAGTGGTGCGTGCATATGTATTCACCCCCTTTGCTATGAAGCCCCTAAATTAGATCTGGTGCAACCAATTACCTTCAGAAGTCACATAATTAGTTGAATAAAGTCCACCTGTGTGCAATCTAAGTGTCACATGATCTCAGTATATATACACCTGTTCTGAAAGGCCCCAGAGTCTGCAACACCACGAAGCACCACCAAGCAAGCAGCACCATGAAGACCAAGGAGCTCTCCAAACAGATCAGGGACAAAGTTGTGGAGAAGTACAGATCAGGGTTGGATTACAAAAAAATATCTGAAACTTTGAACATCCCACGGAGCACCATTAAATCCATTATTAAAAAATGGAAAGAATATGGCACCACAACAAACCTGCCAAAAGAGGGCCGGCCACCAAAACTCACGGACCAGGCAAGGAGGGCATTAATCAGAGAGGCAACAAAGAGACCAAAGATATCCCTGAAGGAGCTGCAAAGCTCCACAGTGGCGATTGGAGTATCTGTCCATAGGACCACTATAATAATAAATAATATGCCATTTAGCAGACGCTTTTATCCAAAGCGACTTACAGTCATGCGTGCATACATTATTTTATTTTTTTGTGTATGGGTGGTCCCGGGGATCGAACCCACTACCTTGGCGTTACAAGCGCCGTGCTCTACCAGCTGAGCTACAGAGGACCACTATAAGCCGTACACTCCACAGAGCTGGGCTTTACGGATGAGTGGGCAGAAAAAAGCCATTGCTTAACGAAAAAAATAAGCAAACACGTTTGGTGTTCGCCAAAAGACATGTGGGAGACTCCCCAAACATATGGAAGAAGGTAATCTGGTCAGATGACACTAAAATTGAGCTTTTTGGCCATCAAGGAAAACTCTGTCTGGCGCAAACCCAACACCTCTCATCACCCCGAGAACACCATCATGCTGTGGGGATGTTTTTCATCGGCAGGGACTGGGAAACTGGTCAGAATTGAAGGAATGATGGATGGCGCTAAATACAGGGAAATTCTTGAGGGAAACCTGTTTCAGTCTTCCAGAGATTTGAGACTGGGACGGAGGTTCACCTTCCAGCAGGACAATGACCCAAAGCATACTGCTAAAGCAACACTCGAGTGGTTTAAGGGGAAACATTTAAATGTCTTGGAATGGCCTAGTCAAAGCCCAGACCTCAATCCAATTGAGAATCTGTGGTATGACTTAAAGATTGCTGTACACCAGCGGAACCCATCCAACTTGAAGGAGCTGGAGCAGTTTTGCCTTGAAGAATGGGCAAAAATCCCAGTGGCTAGATGTGCCAAGCTTATAGAGACATACCCCAAGACACTTGCAGCTGTAATTGCTGCAAAAGGTGGCTCTACAAAGTATTGACTTTGGAGGAGGAACTTCTGGATGCAATTAAAGACTTTAATTCCGGGAAAACTCCAGTGTTGGATGGCATACCAGTCGAGGTATACCAAACCTTTTTTGATATACTAAGAGGACCGTTATTAGCATGTTTTAACCACTCCTATCTAAATGGTAGATTATCTGACACTCAAGAAGGACTGATCTCATTATTACTGAAACAGGATACAAGTGGAAAATATAAAGATCCAGTCCATTTAAAAAATTGGATGCCCCTTACACTTCAGTGTTGTGATGCAAAAATTCTAGCAAAATGTATAGCGCATAGAATTAAAAAGGTATAGTCGGATATTATTCATTCTAATCAGACAGGTTTTTTTTACATGGAAGATACATTGGAGATAATATAAGGCAAGTATTGGAAACAATAGAACACTATGGAAAATCTGGGAAACCAGGCCTGCTATTCATAGCAGACTTCGAAAAGGAATTTGATAAAGTACGACTGGGGTTTATATACACTGCTCAAAAAAATAAAGGGAACACTTAAACAACACAATGTAACTCCAAGTCAATCACACTTCTGTGAAATCAAACTGTCCACTTAGGAAGCAACACTGATTGACAATACATTTCACATGCTGTTGTGCAAATTGAATAGACAACAGGTGGAAATTATAGGCAATTAGCAAGACACCCCCAATAAAGGACTGGTTTTGCAGGTGGTGACCACAGACCACTTCTCAGTTCCTATGCTTCCTGGCTGATGTTTTGGTCACTTTTGAATGCTGGCGGTGCTTTCACTCTAGTGGTAGCATGAGATGGGGTCTACAACCCACACAAGTGGCTCAGGTAGTGCAGCTCATCCAGGATGGCACATCAATGCGAGCTGTGGCAAGAAGGTTTGCTCTGTCTGTCAGCGTAGTGTCCAGAGCATGGACGCGCTACCAGGAGACAGGCCAGTACATCAGGAGACGTGGAGGAGGCCGTAGGAGGGCAACAACCCAACAGCAGGACTGCTACCTCCGCCTTTGTGCAAGGAGGAGCAGGAGGAGCACTGCCAGAGCCCTGCAAAATGACCTCCAGCAGGCCACAAATGTGCATGTGTCTGCTCAAACGGTCAGAAACAGACTTCATGAGGGTGGTATGCGGGCCCGACGTCCACAGGTGGGGGTTGTGCTTATAGCCCAACACCGTGCTGGACGTTTGGCATTTGCCAGAGAACACCAAGATTGGCAAATTCGCCACTGGCGCCCTGTGCTCTTCACAGATGAAAGCAGGTTCACACTGAGCACGTGACAGAGTCTGGAGACGCCGTGGAGAACGTTCTGCTGCCTGCAACGTCCTCCAGCATGACCGGTTTGGCGGTGGGTCAGTCATGGTGTGGGGTGGCATTTCTTTGGGGGGCCGCACAGCCCTCCATGTGCTCGCCAGAGGTAGCCTGACTGCCATTAGGTACCGAGATGAGATCCTCAGACCCCTTGTGAGACCATATGCTGGTGCGGTTGGCCCTGGGTTCCTCCTAATGCAAGACAATGCTAGACCTCATGTGGCTGGAGTGTGTCAGCAGTTCCTGCAAGAGGAAGGCATTGATGCTATGGACTGGCCCGCCCGTTCCCCAGACCTGAATCCAATTGAGCACATCTGGGACATCATGTCTCGCTCCATCCACCAACGCCACGTTGCACCACAGACTGTCCAGGAGTTGGCGGATGCTTTAGTCCAGGTCTGGGAGGAGATCCCTCAGGAGACCATCCGCCACCTCATCAGGAGCATGCCCAGGCGTTGTAGGGAGGTCATACAGGCACGTGGAGGCCACACACACTACTGAGCCTCATTTTGACTTGTTTTAAGGACATTACATCAAAGTTGGATCAGCCTGTAGTGTGGTTTTCCACTTTAATTTTGAGGGTGACTCCAAATCCAGACCTCCATGGGTTGATACATTTGATTTCCATTGATAATTTTTGTGTGATTTTGTTGTCAGCACATTCAACTATGTAAAGAAAAAAGTATTTAATAAGATTATTTCATTCATTCAGATCTAGGATGTGTTATTTTAGTGTTCCCTTAATTTTTTTGAGCAGTGTATAAATGCCTGGAGCATTTCAATTTTGGAGAATCTCTTATAAAATGGGTCAAAATCATGTATAGTAACCCTAGGTGTAAAATAGTAAATAATTGCTATTTCTCAGAATGTTTTAAACTGTCAAGAGGAGTGAAACAAGGTTGTCCACTATCGGCATATCTATTTATTGTGGCCATCGAGATGTTAGCTATTAAAATCAGATCCAACAATAATATCAGGGGATTAGAAATCCAGAGCTTAAAAACAAAGGTGTCATTGTACGCTGATGATTCATGTTTTCTTTTAAATCCACATCTAGAATCCCTCCACAGCCTCATAGAGGATCTAGATATATTTTTTAACCTCTCTGGATTACAACCAAATTATAACTAACAAATATATTACGTATTGGATCACTAAAAAATAAAAATTTACATTACCATGTAGTTTACCAATAAAATGGTCTGATGGTGATGTGGATACAGTGAGGGAAAAAAGTATTTGATCCCCTGCTGATTTTGCACGTTTGCTCACTGACAAAGACATGATCAGTCTATAATTTTAATTTAGGGTTTATTTGAACAGAGACAGAATAACAACACAAAAATCCAGAAAAACGCATGTCAAAAATGTTATAAATTGATTTGCATTTTAGTGAGGGAAATAAGTATTTGACCCCTCTGCAAAACATGACTTAGTACTTGGTGGCAAAACCCTTGTTGGCAATCACAGAGGTTAGACGTTTCTTGTAGTTGGCCACCAGGTTTGCACACATCTCAGGAGGGATTTTGTCCCACTCCTCTTTGCAGATCTTCTCCAAGTCATTAAGGTTTCGAGCCTGACTTTTGGCAACTCGAACCTTCAGCTCCCTCCACAGATTTTCTATGCGATTAAGGTGTGGAGACTGGCTAGGCCACTCCAGGACCTTAATGTGCTTCTTCTTGAGCCACTCCTTTGTTGCCTTGGCCGTGTGTTTTGGGTCATTGTCATGCTGGAATACCCATCCACAACCCATTTTCAATGCCCTGGCTGAGGGAAGGAGGTTCTCACCCAAGATTTGACGGTACATGGCCCCGTCCATCGTCCCTTTGATGCGGTGAAGTTGTCCTGTCCCCTTAGCAGAAAAACACCCCCAAAGCATAATGTTTCCACCTCCATGTTTGACGGTGGGGATGGTGTTCTTGGGGTCATAGGCAGCATTCCTCCTCCTCCAAACACGGCGAGTTGAGTTGATGCCAAAGAGCTCGATTTTGGTCTCATCAGACCACATGACCTTCTCCCATTCCTCCTCTGGATCATCCAGATGGTCATTGGCAAACTTCAGACGGGCCTGGACATGCGCTGGCTTGAGCAGGGGGACCTTGCGTGCGCTGCAGGATTTTAATCCATGACGGCGTAGTGTGTTACTAATGGTTTTCTTTGAGACTGTGGTCCCAGCTCTCTTCAGGTCATTGACCAGGTCCTGCCGTGTAGTTCTGGGCTGATCCCTCACCTTCCTCATGATCATTGATGCCCCACGAGGTGAGATCTTGCATGGAGCCCCAGGCCGAGGGTGATTGACCGTCATCTTGAACTTCTTCCATTTTCTAATAATTGCGCCAACAGTTGTTGCCTTCTCACCAAGCTGCTTGCCTATTGTCCTGTAGCCCATCCCAGCCTTGTGCAGGTCTACAATTTTATCCCTGATGTCCTTACACAGCTCTCTGGTCTTGGCCATTGTGGAGAGGTTGGAGTCTGTTTGATTGAGTGTGTGGACAGATGTCTTTTATACAGGTAACGAGTTCAAACAGGTGCAGTTAATACAGGTAATGAGTGGAGAACAGGAGGGCTTCTTAAAGAAAAACTAACAGGTCTGTGAGAGCTGGAATTCTTACTGGTTGGTAGGTGATCAAATACTTATGTCATGCAAATTAATTACTTAAAAATCATACAATGTGATCTTCTGGATTTTTGTTTTAGATTCCGTCTCTCACAGTTGAAGTGTACCTATGATAAAAATTACAGACCTTTACATGCTTTGTAAGTAGGAAAACCTGCAAAATCGGCATTGTATCAAATACTTGTATTCCCCGCTGCAAAACTTTCTAAAAACCTGTTTTCGATTTGTCATTATGGGGTATTGTGTGTAGATTGATATTTTTTTAATGTATGTTATCCATTATAGAATAAGGCTTTAACGTAACAAAACCTGTATATAGTATGCTTACTAACCTATTGTGTTCGTCATATTTCTTCTTGTTTCTCGTGTTTTTTTTCTAGTATTACATTGTTGATTATTGCATTGTTGGGTTTTGAGTTTGCGAGAAAGGCATTTCACTGTACTTGTGCATGTGACATTAAAACTTGAAACTGAAACGTGAATATTTCATGACCCTAAACCCGCCCACCCTGCGGATATAACCGTGGGGACTGCGTGTTATGAGTCAACCCGCGCATCACTAGTACACCGTTAGTCACTCACCCTTCTAGATAACTTGAAACTTGTGTCTTGAAGTCGCCTAGGCTAGCTAGTGCTAGCCAACTTCTTTCACCAATTTGCTTCAGCAGGCTGGTGTACGACCCATGGCAAAGTTGGTTTGGCATTGGACAGTATGAAAATGTATGCACTCACTAACTGTAAGTCGCTCTGGATAAGAGCGTCTGCTAAATGACTAAAATGTAAATGTATATGATAGTCTTCTTTTGTCTGGGTTTCATGAGCAATCACACTGATTTGATTGCCCTTTGCATAGGCTTGTAGACGATGTAATGATGTAATTGTCATGCCTGCATCAGTGTGCTTTGGCATCATTCAGTGTGATGGAATGGTGAAGTCTCTTGGACTCCCAGCACTGGGCCTGAAGAACCCAGCAGCCCTGAGAGCCACGCTGCAGAGCATAAATAATGCAACCCATTTACTTCAGCTTGGCTTCACCAGAGTGCCAGAGAATGGAAGTGTCTCCTTTGTCAGGACGTACACGTTGTTTCCTCCGCTACCCCTTTAGCATTATGCTATTATACCGTCCAGACAGACTCCAACAACCGTGCAGTTCAGAGGTGAGGTGTGGATGTACTACTCAGAATACCCGGAGTTCCTAGGAGAACATTGGCCTTAAATGCAGAGGTTGTTAAGGTTGGTAGTATTCGATGTTGTCTGCCATTTCTATCTGGTTCAGCTTGGGCTGGGGAGGGTACTAGGGACGATGCAGCTGTGTGTCTGAGTGTGTAAATACTGGACTCTGGCTGCATCTTGTTGAGAGCTTGTACCCCCATCAGGAGACTGAGTGTGTAAAGTTCATTCATTAGCAGTGTTTTTCTAGGATTTTTCTTTGCAGAAATGGCAAAGTTAGCCGGGTGCGGGAGGGAGGGTGTCTTTGCTGCGGGGGTCCGGGTGCATTTATTTTGTAGAACGACTGTGAGAATGTTACTTCTGGTGACTTTTTAAAAGCACATTCTATTCCGAAATGCATGAACAGTTAATTATGTTGACACCATCTGAAATATAACTGATCCGCGCCACTGCACTGTAGGGAGATGATGAGGAGCAAGCGGTGGCTGTGCACTCGTGGCTCTCATTTGCGCCACTGCTCGCTCTGTTTGCCACAAATATACGTTGTAACTTGTCACTCTGATCTTAAAGGGATAGTGCGAGATTAAGTGCTTTTTCAATTTACCCAGAATCAGGAACTCATCGATACCATTTTTATGTCTGTGTGTAGTTTGAAGGAAAGTAGTTGCGCGAGCCATTGCTAACTAGCGTTAGCACAATGACAAAGTCTACATGAACAGCTAGCATGCTAACGCTAGTTAGCAACTTCCTTCGAACTGCATTCAGAGACATACATATTTTTTCCATGAGTTCATCTGACTCTAGGTAAGTAGAAATAGGGCTTAATTGCCAAAATCTTGCGCTATCCCTTTAAAAGCACGTCTCGACAGAAATATATAAAGAATATGCATGTTTTTTGGAGTGGTGGCCACGATTTAGCATCAGCGGACCACCACTGCTAATCAAATATAGGGGAAACACTGATTTAAATGTTTGTTCAAGGTAACGGCTGAAGTGAGTTTTACCAGTCAGTCATATAACTGCATTTTTGTAGAGTCCCCTGCTCTCATCAGCCCCCTGTTCTCTACAGTGCGTTTTCTTTCCGCATTAGTCCACACTCCCCCCTTTGATTCTAGCTTCCTGTATCCAAACGTGTTAAAGGGATACTTTGGGATTTTGGCAATGAGGCCCTTTATCTACACTGAGTACACCAAACATTAGAAACACCTTCCAAATTTTGAGTTGCACCCCTCCCCCCCTTTCAATTTGTCAGGGCATGGACTCTACAAGGTGTCGTAAGCATTCCACAGGGATGATGCTGGCCCATGTTGACTCAAATGCTTCCCACAGTTTTGTCAAGTTGGCTGGATGTCCTTTTGGTGGTGGACCATTCTTGATACACGGGAAACTGTTGAGCTTGAAAATCCCAGCAGCTTTGCAGTTTTTGACACAAACCGGTGCACCTGGCACCTACTACCATACCATTCACCCTCTGAATGGCACACATACACAATCCATGTCTCAAGGTTTAAAAATCCTTCTTTAACCTGTCTCCTCCCCTTCATCTACAATTATTTGAAGTGGATTTAACAAGTTACATCAATAAGGGATCATAGCTTTCACCTAGTCAGCTTATGTCATGGGAAGAGCAGGTATTCTTAATGTTTTGTGTACTCTGTGTACGTCCCCAGATTCAGATGAACTTGTGGATACCATTTTTATGTGTCTGTGTCTAGTATAAAGGAAGAGAGTTAGTTTTGCGAGCTTGCAAGCAGATAACCATAGACTTTCAGTCATTGTGCTAACGCTAGTTAGCAATTGTGCTTGCGCTAGTTAGAAACTTCCTTCAAACTGCACGCAGAGACATAAAAATGGAGCAGATATAGTTTTTGGAAAACCTGGTTGCATAGAAAACTGAGGCAGATTTTACTATAATTCCATTACCAAAGTTTGCATCTGCACAGTTTTTCCACTAAATTCGTTTTTGTAAATGTTTTCATGTAAATTGTTACAAGTAGTTCTAGTGCATAGAGTTGTATGGTTTGTTAAACTTTGAAATCAATGCTTTTTGTTTGGCTTACATTTTTTAATGAAAAAACTGCGTTAAAGCATAATTATGTTACCGTGGAATTTAAGGCTGAACGATTTTGGAAAATAATCTAATTGCGATTTTTTGCCCCCAATATTGCGATTGCGATTTAATATGCGATTTAATTTATTTATCCTTTTTCCCCTACAAAACATAATGAATGATTTAAATATGACCAACACAATAGTATATACATTTAGTGTGAAATGTTCTTTCCCATAGGCTGGGTCTATTTGTTAGAATTAAATTCAAACATGTATGACTTGAAATAAATGACATTTTTATTGAACTGCTCATTACAGAAACATCTGTGGCTTTGCCACTGTGCATTTAAATAATTTAAACAAAGGCATGAACTTTGTAAACACTGTGTGCAAAAGGTACAGTCTTAAGAAAAAAATAATTTTAAATTGTATGTATCTTACTGCTCCCAAGTCAGTAACATTTCACACAACTGAAACAAGGAATTTGCTTTGAAAATATTTTGTAAAATCAAAGTAAATAAAGTTATAAATAAAAAATGAGAAATGCACTTTTAATTTAGACAAACTATTTTTTATAAACGATTTGAATATTATAATATAAAATAGATGAGCCTCACTTATCTCAAGTACACAACAATAACACACCACACAGACTAAAGTTCACTACGAGTATGGCACTGCCAGCCATACTTATCCAACAGTTCTGTTCTCAGTGGCTCACAGGTTTTTTGCTAAGAAAACCAGAATATTGACTTTTTCTGGCTTCAAGGCTGAGCGAGTGCAAGTCACAATATTCCCTCCTGTGCTAAAAAGACGCTCTGAGGGAGCGCTTGTAGCAGGTACACAAAGATACTTGCGTGCCATGGTGCACAATTTTGGGTAGCTGATCTTGTGCACCCTCCACCAAGCCAATGGATCATCTTCTCCATCAATGGTAGGAGTCATCAGGTAATTGTTTATCTCTGCCTCTGCGACATCTTCAAGATTTACAGGCAAAGAAGGAGAGGCTGAACTGGTCTTGAAAAAACTGCCAAGAGACCTCTTCGTCTTTTCCCCCAAGGACTGTGCACTTTGAGGCATCTGAACAGTTTCAGTACGAGACCTCTTCTCCTATTAGATGAAAACAACAGCCATTAGTTTTCCAGTTAGATTTTACAGAAATTTTTTGTTTTTGTGAAATACATAATTATTTACCCAATGATATGTACGTTGTGCCAAGTCTACTATCTCTGTCTTCAGACGAGTCTTGATAGCAGGGATGTTGTCTGTACTGATGTACTGTATTTTGAACCTAGGGTCCAGGAAACAGGCAACATCCAAAAGCTCCTGGATGTTTGGGTCTCCATATTTGTTATTGAGGTATGCTAGGACTTTGGTTTTTATTGATTTAGTCAGGTCAGTGTCCTCAGCATCTTCAGCCAGGACTGATGTGGCAAAAAGGTGGAGAACTGGCTTGAGGTAGGAGATGCTTACATACTCCTCTCCAGAAAGAGCATCAGTAAACTCCAGTAGAGGATGCAGTGCCTTGTGAATCGACTCCAACACGTCAATATCCTGCCAGGTTGGGATAAGGGAGCGTGCATATCGATCTCCAGACAATACCTGAGAAATGGCTTTGGCCTGTTCAAGCACTCTGGCAATCATCATTTCTTTAGAACCCCATCTTGTTGGGCACTCCGTTATGAGGTTGTGCTCAGGGAGTTTGAGCTCTCTCTGTGCCTCCGTCAGGGCTGCTTTCTTCTTCCAACTGTGGGAAAAGTGCCCCACCAGCTTCCTGCACAGTGCTGTTGCCCTTGACACTCTGTCATCTTTGAGTGCATTTTCTAAAAGAAATAAAAAGTAGTGTATTACACACAATTTGAGTTTTGATACAAGGCTCTCACTATTACACACTCTAATTAGCTGTAATTCTGAAATACACACATCCACAACACATCCTCTCTCTCTCTCTCAATTCAAAGGGTCTTTATTTGCATGTCAATTCTCTCTCTCTTTCTCTCTCTCTCTCTCTCATAAACACTAAAAAAACATGTAAAAAACAAAAACAAGAAAAGAAAAAAAATGCAGGTGGGCATTCCACCACAGACAGACATATGATATAAGCAAGTAAAATGAATTTACATATTAGAAAAGGAGTGGAAGTATGAATTTATTTAATCCCATCCGATTTATATAATATCATTTATATATATTTGTATATTCAGCTTTACTAATCGACGCATCTCTCTCTCTCGCACTCGCGCACACACACACACACACACACACACACACAAACACACACAAACACACACACACACACACACACACACACACACACACACACACACACACACACACACACACACACGATAACTTACCAATGGCAAGATGTAATCTGTGGCCAAAACATTGGAGCCTCGTCCATTCATTAAGCCGCGCAGCAAGCACCATATTCGACGCGTTGTCCGTCGTGATGCAGACGTGATTCTCCTCGTGGAGATCCCAGCTGACAAGCCCTTCTCTCAGGCCGGCTGCAATATTTTCCCCTGTGTGATCGTCTGGGAAGTAGGTAGTTTGTAGGCAGCGAGCTCGGAGGTTGAAATCTTCATCAATAAAATGGACTGTAAGACTCTGGTACGGCTCAGCTGTGCGGCTTGACCACATATCAGTAGTGCTAGCAAAAAACTCCACCGTTTTAAGTTCCGCGGCGACTTTCTCTTTGCACTTTTTGTACAGCTCCGGTATGGCAGTCTGACTGAAGTATGTGCGGGAGGGTATACTGTAACGTTTATCAAGCGTATGTATTAATGCCATGAACCCAGGCTTGGTCACCGTGCTGAGAGGCATCATATCTTTGGCTATGAACTCGGTTATTGTCCGAGTGATTTCTCCGTGCCGTTTTGAATTACGTTCATACGGAGTGACACTTTCGAACATTTCTGTCAGTGATCCCTGTCTTGAGGTATTTGGCTTGTCTCGCGCACTGATGCTCGGCATTTTGGTCATACAACTGTCATGCATTGATTTGTGGTATTTTTTTTAAGTGCTGAAACAGGTTTGTAGTGTTACCCCGTGAAGTAGCAATCGGAGCACGGCATGCTCTGCACAACACCTGACGCTGCTCAGCATCTTCTTTTTTAAAACCAAAATAGTTCCACACCACCGACGTGCTGTTCCTCTTCGATATTAAAGTATCAGCTGTGTCAGTTTCTGACTGTTCCGTCGAGCAAGAGGCCATTGCGCTGGACAGCATGAAAAGTCGCGTCACGTGACCACCTCAAATCGCGCACGTTGCGATTAGAAAAATCGCGTTCAGTCCAATCGCGATATTATCGCGAATGCAATTAATCGTTCAGCCCTAGTGGAATTACATTTGACATTTTAGTCATTTAGCAGACGCTCTTATCCAGAGCGACTTACAGTTAGAGTGCATAAAAAAAAAAAATCATACTGGCCCCCCGTGGGAAACGAACCCACAACCCTGGCGTTGCAAGCGCCATGCTCTACCAACTGAGCTACACGGGGCCCATTAGTATCTGTGTCTGTATTGAGAGGCCATGTGACTGATGTCACAAACACTTCCTCTGTGTGTGTCACTGCTCACCATTTCCTTCCCTTCCTGGTCAGTGATGGAGGCAGGCGCTTTGTTAATGATTTGGTTTGGGGAACAAAAAAGCTTGAAGAAACTGTCTTGTGTTGAATATTCTCTGAGTGTAACATGATTAAAAGTCTTGGGTGATGACTGTCAATGTCAGAGTTTTTAGAAATGAATGCAGTCCCTGAATACTGTATCCCACCTACATGGTCAACATGCTTGTGATTGCTGGCAAAGGGCAAATAGAAGAGGGGGGACCTATTGAGAGAACAACGCTGTGCATATGGTCTGTCAGTTAGTTGGTTCAGCTGTACTGGTTCTTATGTGTTGTTGTAATGCGCTGATGGACGGCCTGGAAAAGATAACAGACATTTTGACCTGCTGGGGGTTCCTTTGCGCCAACGGCATTTAGATCAAGTCTCCTCTTGTTACTGTAGGTCTGACACTTAGCAGCTGCCTCTGTGTACTCTGGAACCCTCTCAGAACCCCTCAGCCCCATTTCCCATCTGCTACCACCAGTGTCCAGTGTGCTCCCTCTTGAGTGTCTGTGTTGTACGTGCCACTGGTTTAACACTAGACCCGCTAAAGCAGTCATTTTGACTGCTCATGAATATATTTTATTATTCTGCCATTTTTAAAGTCATGCCCCCCTCAGTCCTTGACCTTTCCTAAATAAGTCTATATAACACACTGCCGTTGTTAGAATTTGTTATATCACAAACGGAACTAGAGCTATAACCAGTTTAAGGAGGGCATGTCATTATTTGAATGGTTTTCCCCTGTTGCCCCTCCTCCCGACAGTAGGGCCTGCTCCGCTCATTCTCCCGACATTGGAAGGTGCAGTGGCCAGTTGATAATGACCCTGATAATTGCCTCTCAACTGAACCTAAACTATACCAAAACTAATTTCACACATATAACAACAGATGAAATAAATGAAGTAAAGTATGATGGGGGAGAATGGGTGAGTTGATGAGCGAGGGGATAATGCATAATTATGTATCACCAATTGTGATTGAAGAACAGGGCAGGCCATTCTATTGTATTGGTGTATTCTAATTATAATCTCAAAATGGTATATACCCTATATCAGTCCACCAAATCCAAGCAGTTTTATCAGTCTACTCTGGCCTACTTGGAGTACACAGTGAGAACTTGCGTAATTTACAATGGCAAGAAGACCAAGACTAATGGATGCACATGCTGCGTTAGCGCTGCTACAAGATCTGAATGAAAACGACTCAGATGGCGGGGAAGAAATGAATCATGACATCTCTGATGATTATTCTTCTGATTCTGAGCCTCAACCTGAATAACCTACACCTCCCAGGCCTAAGGGCAATAAAGCCAGAACGGTGTGTGCTGAGCAGGTGCCCGTGCCAGCACCAAATGAAACAGTGAGACAGGATAAAGGAAGGGAAGTTTGGGAAAAGATCCACATCGGGCAGCAGGTGAGCAAGTGTCAGAGAATGTGGTGATGAGGCTTGTGGAACCTTACGTTGGCAAGGGGAGAAATGTCACCGTGGACAATTTCTTCACGTCACTGTCATTGGCGAACAAGTTGCTTGCAAATAAAACAAGTTTAGTCGGCACCATGAACAAAGCAAGACGGGAGCTCCCTCCCAAAATAAGGCACCTTAACAGCCGTTGTATAACGGTGCTGAAGAATGACAAGACAACACTCACACTATACCAATGCAAAGCAAGAAAGAATGTTTCTGTCATGAGCACTATGCATCCATCTGACAGTTGCCATCGACGGGGACTCCATAAAGAGAAAACCGGATACTGTTACGCACTATAACCAAAGGTATGTCAAAATTACATCATACACATTGCCATATATATATACTTAACAAAAATATAAACGCAACATGTAAAGAATATGTTCCATGTTTCATGAGCTGAAATAAAAGATCCCTGGAAAATTCCATACGCACAAAATGCTTATTTCTCTCAAATGTTGTGCACAAATTTGTTTACATCCCTGTTAGTGAGCATTTATCCTATGCCAAGATGATCCATCCACCTGACAGGTGTGGCATATCAAGAAGCTGATTAAACAGCATGATCATTACACAGGTGCACCTTGTGCTGGGGACAGTAAAGGCCACTCTAAAATGTGCAGTTTTGTTACACAACAGCATGCCACAGATGTCTCAAGTTTTGAGGGAGCGTGCAATTGGCATGCTGACTGCAGGAATGTCCACCAGAGCTGTTGCCAGAGAATGTAATGTTAATTTCTCTATCATAAGCCACCTTCAACGTTGTTTTAGAGATTTTGGCAGTACGTCCAACTGGCCTCACAACCGCAGACCACGTGTATGGCGTCGTGTGGGCGAGCGGTTTGCTGACATCAACGTTGTGAACAGAATTCCTCATGGTGGCGATGGGGTTGTGGTATGAGCAGTCATAAGCTACAGACAATAAACACAATTGCATTTTATTGATGGCAAATGTAATGCATAGAGATACTGTGATGAGATCCTGAGGCCCATTTTCGTGCCATTCATCCGCCGCCTTCACATCATGTTTCAGCCCCATGTCACAAGTATCTGTACACAATTCCTGGAAGCTGAAAATGTCCCAGTTAATCCATGGCCTGCATACACAACAGACATGTCACCCATTGAGTGGCCTGCCTTCCACAAAGCGTTCTTTATCTTCTACTGCTAGTTCAACCTTTTTTCTCTGTTTTTGGAGAAGTAGGCATATCTCTTGCTTTGTCATCGGCCCTCGTGATCTTCACTATGGGGAGCAAATTCAAAAACAGATCTCTCTGCAAACATATTTTGAGTGAAGATTCATAATTAATCATACATACAGTAGTATAGGCAGGGAAGGAGTGTTTTGTATTTTGGGTTCAGATAGGCCTACAGTATGTCTTCATTTAAGATAGATATATTTAGATTATTAAATGATAAGTCTCAATAGATTTGCTCTTCAGGTCCTACTTCGCTGTTTAGCATTCATTACTTTTTCTAGTAGAGTTTATTCTAGTAGAGTTTAATCTGATATCGCCCTCCCACTGTTAAAGTTAATTATGTCATTATCACATGCAATGCATAAGCCCTCAAATGGCCAATCCCTTTACTGCAGTGATCTTTCTTAGCAGTGTAGCTAGGTTGTCATGCAGGGCTCGTCATATGGACAATATGAGGACATGACAGACACCCTTTGTATACATTTGTCAAGCAGTGGAGGTCCACGTTTTAACCTATGCTATAGCTTAATTGCAGCAAAATTGTAGATTAAATGTATACATTAGATTCTATCTTATTATTTGTCATACTCTTAGTTCATGTCTTGGTCATTTGACTGTATTTTGTCTATTTTTACATAGAATGTTATTGTACCTCTGCTATTTAATTGATGCTAGGAATTTGAGGCCTCCGTTCACTTATCAGCTGCATGGTATTTACAGCATGTTGACATTACAAAAAGTACCTCCAACAGTGACAGAGCCATAATGGAACCTGTTATATTATTTACTGTATGTGAGTTAGTTATTAAAGGTGCAGTATGCAGAAATCACTCTGCCATTTCCTGGTTGCTAAAATTCTAATAGTTCTCCTAATTTCAGTTTGTGACTAAACAAGCAGTCATAGTGTAGATCATTATTGTACCATCTAAACCGCTGTGAAATATATTTTCCATAACCAAAAATATTGTACACTGCTCAAAAAAATAAAGGGAACACTTAAACAACACAATGTAACTCCAAGTCAATCACACTTCTGTGAAATCAAACTGTCCACTTAGGAAGCAACACTGATTGACAATAAATTTCACATGCTGTTGTGCAAATGGAATAGACAACAGGTGGAAATTATAGGCAATTAGCAAGACACCCCCAATAAAGGACTGGTTTTGCAGGTGGTGACCACAGACCACTTCTCAGTTCCTATGCTTCCTGGCTGATGTTTTGGTCACTTTTGAATGCTGGCGGTGCTTTCACTCTAGTGGTAGCATGAGACGGAGTCTACAACCCACACAAGTGGCTCAGGTAGTGCAGCTCATCCAGGATGGCACATCAATGCAAGCTGTGGCAAGAAGGTTTGCTGTGTCTGTCAGCGTAGTGTCCAGAGCATGGAGGCGCTACCAGGAGACAGGCCAGTACATCAGGAGACGTGGAGGAGGCCGTAGGAGGGCAACAACCCAGCAGCAGGACTGCTACCTCCGCCTTTGTGCAAGGAGGAGCAGGAGGAGCACTGCCAGAGCCCTGCAAAATGACCTCCAGCAGGCCACAAATGTGCATGTGTCTGCTCAAACGGTCAGAAACAGACTCCATGAGGGTGGTATGAGGGCCCGACGTCCACAGTTGGGGGTTGTGCTTACAGCCCAACACCATGCAGGACGTTTGGCATTTGCCAGAGAACACCAAGATTGGTAAATTCGCCACTGGCGCCCTGTGCTCTTCACAGATGAAAGCAGGTTCACACTGAGCACATGTGACAGACGTGACAGAGTCTGGAGATGCCGTGGAGAACGTTCTGCTGCCTGCAACATCCTCCAGTATGACCGGTTTGGCGGTGGGTCAGTCATGGTGTGGGGTGGCATTTCTTTGTGGGGCCGCACAGCCCACCATGTGCTCGCCAGAGGTAGCCTGACTGCCATTAGGTACCGAGATGAGATCCTCAGACCCCTTGTGAGACCATATGCTGGTGCGGTTGGCCCTGGGTTCCTCCTAATGCAAGACAATGCTAGACCTCATGTGGCTGGAGTGTGTCAGCAGTTCCTGCAAGAGGAAGGCATTGATGCTATGGACTGGCCCGCCCGTTCCCCAGACCTGAATCCAATTGAGCACATCTGGGACATCATGTCTCGCTCCATCCACCAACGCCACGTTGCACCACAGACTGTCCAGGAGTTGGCGGATGCTTTAGTCCAGGTCTGGGAGGAGATCCCTCAGGAGACCATCCGCCACCTCATCAGGAGCATGCCCAGGTGTTGTAGGGAGGTCATACAGGCACGTGGAGGCCACACACACTACTGAGCCTCATTTTGACTTGTTTTAAGGACATTACATCAAAGTTGGATCAGCCTGTAGTGTGGTTTTCCACTTTAATTTTGAGTGTGACTCCAAATCCAGACCTCCATGGGTTGATCAATTTGATTTCCATTGATAATTTATGTGTGATTTTGTTGTCAGCACATTCAACTATGTAAAGAATTTTTTTTTTAATAAGATTATTTCATTCATTCAGATCTAGGATGTGTTATTTTAGTGTTCCCTTTATTTTTTTGAGCAGTGTATTTTCAGCTGTTTTGAAGCTTGTGTAGCCTAAAAAGTTACATATTGCAGCTTTAACTCAAAATACATTTGTAATTGTCTATGTTATTTGTGAGTGAGTTAGTTTCTCAGCCCATCCCTGAAGTCTAGGCTTGGCTTCCCCAGATGTAGTTTCAGTTTGAATCCTTCCCTTTCCCCTCTAAAAACAATCCCTTAGACTGACCGACATTAACACAAACCTCAACGATATAATTAAACTAGGCTGTGTCGTCCAATAATCGTTTGTCTGTGTATGTTATTAAAAAGCAACTCTGAGCCTGGGCACGTTCTACTTCCAGCTCTGGCTAATTACATATAAGTCTGTATGGCTTCTGTCAGGGTGCAGCTAAGCTCCGCTTTGCTCCTCTTGTTGCATCCATTGTTTTAATTTAGCTTTGTGATAGTATTGCCTTTCGTTACGAGAAGGATATTATATTTCTATGTCAAATGAATGATACTTGACTTTCCTCATAAGTACTTTGGAATCTCACGTTGTAGTCTCTGATAAGTAAAAGTACCTGTCATGTTAAGAAGTGAATGTTTGGTTTGAATAATTGAGCATGCTGTTGAGTATTGAGTGTGCTCCTAACCACCCTGGTATGTGTTTTCACAGGCATCCGCTCATGGGATGTGGACCTGACATTCTGTAACCTGGACGAGCAGCTCAAGCTCTTTGTGTCTCGACACTCTGCCTTCTTCTCGGAAGAAATAAAAGGTAATTTGCTTTTTCCACCTGTGTATCCTTCTGGGTAAAACATAATTGACTGAACTGTAAAACTCCTCCCTGTTGGCCCTCAGTATTAAAAGTCTCTCGGTCTCGATGCGATGGTGCTAATGACAAGGGATCAGTCATTGTCCTTGATCGGCCCGGTTTCGACTGTATGTCTTTATCCCTTTCAACACAGAACATGACCTCTCAATGGTTGCTGTTGTGGCTGGTATAGTGAGGACCAGCTGCAGTAACTTTGTTGCCACGGTGACAGTCTGTGTCAGGTCATGCTGGAACAAAAAGCTGAGGAGCTCTCCAGGTGATTTGTGTCTTACCATTTGTGAACTGGACAATCCAGCAAGTCTAACGAAATCAAAGTACTTGGCATATTTTGACAGGCTCTGGTTTGCCGGCGTCAAACTTTTGTAAAATTGTTTCAAATATTTTGTAGTCCACTGAGCCAAGGCAATTAAGTTCACCATAGTGGTCAAACCTGGCTCTCTTTCGAACATTGATATTGTCCTGTATTGTAGTAGTATTGCCTCCTCTATACTCTGTTTACAACAAGTTTCGCTTTCTGCCAGGCCCAGTTCATTGCATTTCTGCTCGAATCGCTCATAGAAACTATCAGTCTTGTCGCTGCCGTTCCAGTGCTTTCAGTATGTCGCTGATGTGGTGGAAAATACCATCATAGGCCATGAGCAAAAATGGGTTGCTAACTGTTAATTTTTTTCAGTAAAGGCATGTAATAGTTCCACCATAGTTGTCCCTGGGCCTGTTTGATGAGCTATCCAGGCTCTGTCGCCGCCGGCCGCGAACGGGAGACTCATGGGCGGCGCACAATTGGCCCAGCGTCGTCCAGGGTAGGGGAGGGAATGGCCGGAAGGGATGTAGCTCAGTTGATAGAGCATGGCGTTTGCAACGCCAGGGTTGTGGGTTCGATTCCCACGGGGGGCCAGTATAAAAAAAAATATGTATTCACTAACTGTAAGTCGCTCTGGATAAGAGCGTCTGCTAAATGACTTAAATGTAAATGTAATGAGCTGGCACTCATCGTTACCATGAATTGCCAACTCCTGTTTACCTAGGTAGCATGATGTAGCATTAATTAGCTAGGTCTTAAAAAATCTCACAGTCCTCTTTTACCTTAGCATTGTGCATACTGATGTTCAATCTCCATTGTTCATTCAATGCCAGATCTATCCGTGAGCTGCCAAATGTCTTAAGATCTATCTAAAAGATGCCATTATTTTCCTGTCCAACTATTGACACATACTTGTATGCCTGCTATTATTTGAATTATGTTGTCTGGCTCCTTATCAAAGTTCATTCAATGAGTTACATTGAATATCTGTGTGAATGCTGTTTATGACCCACTTTTCAAACCCGACAGCTTTGTTACATCTCATGACGGTCACAATTCTCAGAGAAGACGTCATAAGCATAAATTAGTCAAACATTCTAAATGGTACAAGAGTTCCTTTTGAATGAGAATATCCATTCTACCATGCTCCAACAAACTGAGCCATTGGAACCTCCTTACATTACTCAATAGCTTACAGTCCCATTCGCATCCTATTATTGACCCCTGTTAGGTGTGTGTGTGTCTGGTCTCCCTCCCTGCTGTTTGCATGCAGGGCCACAGTGGTTAGCAACACGGCGGTGCACTGGGACTTGGGGTTTGCGTGCAGAGAGGCCGTGGCAGCAGTTAGCTGGGGGCTGCAGACTGCTCGCGGATTAGAAAGTTTGACGTGCTTGGCTGGTCAGGGTCTACTCAGTCAGGCAAACACCAGCAAGTTTACACTTGCCCAGCATCTTCACACTCGAGTGGAGATGGAGCTCGCTTCCCCACAAGAGATTTTATCTCCAGTGATAACTCCATCTTTTATATCTGGTTGCTCTGCCAGCATCTTTCAATTCAGCCCCACTGAAAAGCCTAATTCGGATAGACTGATGAACTTTTCAGATGAGTGGGCTATTTATTTATCTATCATGCAGATAATCGACAATACATTCTAGAATTGACGTTGAGAAAAATACTTGATTTGTCTTTACTTCTCCTCAGTCAAACATCTACTTGAGAAATCTAGCAGAGGATCGCCAGCCTTGGTCGTATGTCAAGGCAGAAAGCGTGTGCCCTTCTGGGTTATCTGCCCGTCTGCCGCTAATGATAGACATGAGTCAATGAGTCAACCTCCCGAGTGGCGCAGTGGTCTAAGGCACTGCATCGCAGTGCTAGCTGTGCCACTAGAGATCCTGGTTCGAATCCAGGCTCTGCTGTAGCCGGCCGCAACCGGGAGACCAATGGGGCGGCGCACAATTGGCCCAGCGTCGTCCAGGGTAGGGGAGGGAATGGCCGGCAGGGAGGTAGCTCAGTTGGTAGAGCATGGCGTTTGCAACGCCAGGGTTGTGGGTTCGATTCCCACGGGGGGCCAGTATGAAAATAAAAAAGAATAATGTATGCACTAACTGTAAGTCGCTCTGGATAAGAGCGTCTGCTAAATGACGTAAATGTAATGTTTTATTTGACTGCCTGGGAGTGTGTATGCAATGCCATGGGTGGTACTGGGTGCTGTCCACTACCAGTGGCCAGCGGTCTGTTTCTGCATGTCAGGTCAGTTGATGGTTTGAGCAAAGGAACACACACAAGACTATAGCAGTATAAATATTGCAATTAAATCTGTACTCTGGAGAAAATCTTATTGAGCCTCAAGTGTTCTTCCTTTACACCACAACAACTTCAGCAGAGTAGCTCCTTCAGACCGTTATTTGTTTATTTGCAGTGTAGTTCGTGTGGAGTGTTAGTGATGATGTTAGTGGGGAGGTCAGAGGAATGAGACAGGTGGTTGATGGAAAGCAGAGAGAGAAATGCCAGGGAGAGTGGGAGGAGGAGAGAGTGAGTGTGTGACCTCACAGCTGAAAATAGTTGGCCACAGCTGCACCTTCCTCGCCCTGAAGCCCATCTTCCCTCAGTCACCAGAACATGTATTTCTCCTCGGGACAACTTTCTCCTCAAGTTTCAAGAAATACCTTGCCCCAACTTCAGGCCTCACCCATTCACAATCCGTGTCACACCCCAACACCCACAATACAACCACACTTGCACTCTCATGCTAGCGAGCTCGTTCGCTAGCTCAGGCTATTGCGACTCTGTAAAAGTACTACTACTATATTACTGCAGTGCTCCACTATCGAATATGTGCTGCAGAGCCTCTTCCAGGCAGCAGGCTGACTAATGGCAGGCCAGCTGTTGAGGAATGTGTGGCGTCAGAGCCTGTATGTGTGTGTGTGTTTACACTAGTGGAGTGATCCTGTGCGGGTGGTGCAGGATGGGGGGAGCATGAGAGTCATCAGGGGGCACATGGTGTGCCACACAGTGCCTTGCTTTGTCTCATTTCATAGGCCTACAGTAAAACCTTATCCAGAATGGGCTAATTCATGACAAATGCCTAATACAAATAAGTTAGAATATACAGTATATTTACATTTTTAGTCATTTAGCAGACGCTCTTATCCAGAGCGACTTAGTTAGTGAGTGCATACATTTTATTTTTTTGATACTGGAGGAAAGTTACCAAACAGTGATGACACAGTTTTAGAAATTAGGCTACTCTATAGCAATGATTATGCTACTGATAGATTTCTGTTTTGGATAAGGTGTCTTTTACCCCTGTGAGGCTGACTGTCTCCTGTTACAGTGGGCATGGCTCCAGACTTTCCCCTGGTGGCACTGGTGCCACTAACTTTTTCAGTTGGTGGCACCAGCCCATGATTTGCAGCTTTTTCCACTACCATCAACAAAACACCAAATGATGGAATTTATCGTGGAAGAATGAGTTCCAGACACTTGTCGAATTTATGCCAAGGTGCATTGAAGCTATTCTGGTGGCTCGTGGTGGCCCAACACCCCATTAAGACACTATGTTGTTGTTTCCTTTATTTTGGGCAGTTACCTGTATGTTTTCAAGGGGATTTTGTTTTTTATCAGAGCTGCTTTCTTTTATCATTATTGAATGTGTCATGTTGAAATGATGTCCATATATTGAAGCCTAAACTATTAACAGTGGTTATTACTGTTAATCTCTTCTACATGCGGAGGTCATCCGTTCATCCGTTCACCCACACAAAGACACGGCGGTTGGAACCAAAAATCTCCTATTTGGACTCCAGACCAAAGGACACATTTCCACCGGTCTAATGTCCATTGCTCGTGTTTCTTGGTCCAAGCAAGTCTCTTATTGGTTTCCTTTTAGTAGGGGTTTCTTTGGAGCAATTGGACCATGAAGGCCTGATTCACACGGTCTCCTCTGAACAGTTGATGTTGAGATGTGTCTGTTACTTGAACTCTGTGAAGCATTTATTTGGGCTGCAATTTCTGAGGCTGGTAACTCTAATGAACTTGTCCTCTGCAGCAGAGGTAACTCTGGGTCTTCCATTCCTGTGGTGGTCATCACGAGAGCCAGTTTCATCATAGCGCTTGATGGTTTTTAATAATAAATAATAATAATATGCCATTTAGCAGACGCTTTTATCCAAAGCGACTTACAGTCATGCGTGCATACATTTTTGTGTATGGGTGGTCCCGGGGATCGAACCCACTACCTTGACGTTACAAGCGCCGTGCTCTACCAGCTGAGCTACAGAGGACCAGTTTTTGTGACTGCACTTGAAGAAACTTTTAAAGTTCTTGAAATGTTCCGTATTGACTGCCCTTCATGTCTTAAATTAATGGACTGTCATTTCTCTTTGCTTATTTGAGCTGTTCTTGCCATAATATGGACTTGATATTTTAGCATTTAGCTCAAACGCATTTAGAAGGAAATAAATTCCACAAATTAACTTTTAAGAAGGCACACCTGTTAATTGAAATGCATTCCAGGTGACTACCTCATGAAGCTGGTTGAGAGAATGCCAAGCGTGTGCAAAGCTGTCATCGAGGCAAAGGGTATTTGAAGAATCTAAAATCTAAAATATATTTTGATTTGTTTAACACTTTTTTGATTACTACATGATTCCATATGTGTTGTTTAATAGTTTTGATGTCTTCACTATTATTCTACAATGTAAAAAAATATTAAAAATAAAGAAAAACCCTTGAATGAGTAGGTGTGTCCAAACTTTTGACTGGTACTGTATAAGGTCATTTCGTCAAACTTGTGAGGCTCTCCATGCTCATTTGTTGCTCATTCAACATATTTGCTGCTACTTCACTCAATCCTGTTTTATGACTCCCATCCTATCTGTTTTAATTTCCCTGAGACCAACCAGAAATGTGTCCTTGGCCAAATATTCTGAGATTTTCATAAAACAGCCACAAATGTGGTCTCTCGTTTCTGCATCAGCAGTAGGCTACGCTTCAATTGCTTGGTCGGTCCTGCGACCTGCAGGGATGTAGTGCTGCCGCAGCGCCACTTCTCACAATGGTGCTTGTTTAGTAAAGTTAGATCAAAGCTGACTCAATGTCTTGGAAGATCACAATGATGGTATAATGTTACAACAAAAACACCACCTCATTTCCTATGAGATTCTAGCATGGTTAGCTGAATAGTCCCCAAAAATTATAATCCGGCCAAAACTCAACAGCACGTGCACACATAATCTGCTTTGATTTAAACAAAATACAGGAAGGCTATATACAGTGGGGAAAAAAAGTATTTAGTCAGCCACCAATTGTGCAAGTTCTCCCACTTAAAAAGATGAGAGAGGCCTGTAATTTTCATCATAGGTACACGTCAACTATGACAGACAAAATGAGGGAAAAAAATCCAGAAAATCACATTGTAGGATTTTTTATGAATTTATTTGCAAATTATGGTGGAAAATAAGTATTTGGTCACCTACAAACAAGCAAGATTTCTGGCTCTCACAGACCTGTAACTTCTTCTTTAAGAGGCTCCTCTGTCCTCCACTCATTACCTGTTTTAATGGCACCTGTTTGAACTTGTTATCAGTATAAAAGACACCTGTCCACAACCTCAAACAGTCACACTCCAAACTCCACTATGGCCAAGACCAAAGAGCTGTCAAAGGACACCAGAAACAAAATTGTAGACCTGCACCAGGCTGGGAAGACTGAATCTGCAATAGGTAAGCAGCTTGGTTTGAAGAAATCAACTGTGGGAGCAATTATTAGGAAATGGAAGACATACAAGACCACTGATAATCTCCCTCAATCTGGGGCTCCACGCAAGATCTCACCCCGTGGGGTCAAAATGATCACAAGAACGGTGAGCAAAAATCCCAGAACCACACGAGGGGACCTAGTGAATGACCTGCAGAGAGCTGGGACCAAAGTAACAAAGCCTACCATCAGTAACACACTACGCCGCCAGGGACTCAAATCCTGCAGTGCCAGACGTGTCCCCCTGCTTAAGCCAGTACATGTCCAGGTCCGTCTGAAGTTTGCTAGAGTGCATTTGGATGATCCAGAAGAGGATTGGGAGAATGTCATATGGTCAGATGAAACCAAAATATAACTTTTTGGTAAAAACTCAACTCGTCGTGTTTGGAGGACAAAGAATGCTGAGTTGCATCCAAAGAACACCATACCTACTGTGAAGCATGGGGGTGGAAACATCATGCTTTGGGGCTGTTTTTTTTGCAAAGGGACCAGGACGACTGATCCGTGTAAAGGAAAGAATGAATGGGGCCATGTATCGTGAGATTTTGAGTGAAAACCTCCTTCCATCAGCAAGGACATTGAAGATGAAACGTTGCTGGGTCTTTCAGCATGACAATGATCCCAAACACACCGCCCGGGCAACGAAGAAGTGGCTTCGTAAGAAGCATTTCAAGGTCCTGGAGTGGCCTAGCCAGTCTCCAGATCTCAACCCCATAGAAAATCTTTGGAGGGAGTTGAAAGTCTGTGTTGCCCAGCGACAGCCCCAAAACATCACTGCTCTAGAGGAGATCTGCATGGAGGAATGGGCCAAAATACCAGCAACAGTGTGGGAAAACCTTGTGAAGACTTACAGAAAACGTTTGACCTGTGTCATTGCCAACAAAGGGTATATAACAAAGTATTGAGAAACTTTTATTGACCAAATACTTATTTTCCACCATAATTTGCAAATAAATTCATTAAAAATCCTACAATGTGATTTTCTGGATTTTTTTTCTCATTTTGTCTGTCATAGTTGACGTGTACCTATGATGAAAATTACAGGCCTCTCTCATCTTTTTAAGTGGGAGAACTTGCACAATTGGTGGCTGACTAAATACTTTTTCCCCCCACTGTAGTTAATACCATCTGCTCTAATTTGCTCACGAAACAGTAATTCAAGAAGATCAAAATGCATATTCCCTTGAAACTGATCGAGGTCAAATTATTGGCAGACGCAGTTTGGACATTTCACTGGGAAAACGTGAAGAATTATCATTTACGATTGACAGTGATGATGCCCTGGCCTATTTTGAAGTTAGGTATGCCTAGGGCTGTGGTGGTCACAATTTCATCAGCCGGTGATTGTCAAGCAAATAACTGTCGGTCTCACGGGAGTTGACCGTTAATTAACATAGACATCTCCTGGCTTCCACACATAGCCTACAAGCCACTGATGCGGACCTTTGGAACATCTACATTTAAAAAAGTATAATAAATCCATGTAATATAGCCTACACCTTCACAAAAAATCCATTATTTATTTTAGACCGGACTAAAGAAGCATGATATGAAGAAAATGTAGTCTATTTCAGAAGAACAGAATTAACATACTCTGAGTTGTCCTTATGTTAGGTTCTGATCTGGCTATGCCAAATGGCTGTGGGCTACACTAGTTCATTTAGCAGACAAGATTTGCTAAGAGTTCCGTGGCATTATTTTATATTATTTTATAGTATGAAGAATATAATTGAACAAAGCTGAATAAAATAGAAAGGATATTTTCTCCAAACGATTTGAGGGAGTGCGCACATGCGGCTATTCTGTGTTGAGCGGTTAACAAAGAAATAGGTACTCCTATATGCTTATTTTAGACTTATTAATGTAACTTTAGTTGTTCTACAAACATTGGGCTATATGTTTTGATTTTAAAAAAAGTTTTAAGGCTGCATGATGCTACTCTAATGATGATTTGAAAAGAGTTGCTTGAAAGGCATGAGCTTTGCTTTGTTTTTTGCACAGGCTGTACACACTTCATCAGTCTCGCATTCACAATTTGACAAGCACTTAATATAATATAATATAATATAATGCCTCAAATTTCACGGGGGCATCCCCTTTGTGTGGCCGTAATGTACCCAGAAAAAATCCATGCCTTTTGCTGCCATTGGCTGTTGTGCCCTTGGCCCTGAGTGCTGCCCAATCCGAAGCACCTCTCACTCACATGGCGCTCCATCACGTGATCGGGTCTTTCTCCCAGGCTACATGTGAAGACCGATACATCGGGGACACAACTGCGTGCATCCTTATCCAATTCCGAGGTGCATATTGAAGATATTGTAAGAACTGTCCACATTTACTTTTTGTCAGCCAACAAGATGAGTAGGCCTAACGAACAGCAAAAGCACTAACCTATGTCAATCTACTATCCCCCATAGTACAAAAGTTGACCTATTCTGTGCGAGAAATTAATATTCCAAACATAGTCTGGGGCAGTTGGGGATAAGATGGATCCCAAATTAATACAACCACTAGCATCAAAAAACCTTTTTTACGCAATGTGGCTGACGCAACAGATCAGAATGTTTAGCTTAAAATGTTGATAAACTATTAGGCTATTTCTTCACATTATAAGTGCAGCAATGCGCACATGGCAGTAGGCTATACGCGCAAATGTTCGATTAGCGGGAAAACACCATTATCAAAAGTGACTGCAAATGTGATTATGCATGTAATGCTTTTATGAGAAAGGTGCATTTTTATGGTGAAAATTATCTTCCCCAAACTTGAATCTCATGCGCTGCTTATGTATGCCAGTTAGGCTCTACACCCCTTTTTAAAGTGGATTAATGTGCTTAATTTTAAGATGTTATTTGGCCACTTTAGTTGTGATACAAACCATATCAAAACATATAGGCCTATGGGCTAGGCTACATGAGGTGTGCGAATATGATTCAATTTTTTTATTTTTATCTTGTGTTTACATATACTAAATAATATATGTGTGAAATTTGTTTTGATTTAGAATGGACCATTATCATGCACCTGTCTTGAAACAGGGGCAGCGGGAAAAAATACATGGTATCTATGCGCTTAAATAGCGAATGGAGGATGATTTTCCCGTGGTTCATTTTCATAACAGCCAGGTAGGCTATACTCCTGTTGTAAAGATAAGCAACGTGCTTAATATTAGGAAAGTTGAGAAATAAGTATACAGTGCCTTTCAAAAGTATTCATCCCCCTTTTCGCTTTTCCTATTTTGTTGCATTACAACCTGTAATTTAAATGGATTTTTATTTGGATTGCATGTATGGACACACAAAATAGTCCAAATTGGTGAAGTGAAAAAAAAGTAACAAATAATAGTTTTAAAAAAAAAAAGTATACAAAATAAATAGCGGAAAAGTGGTGCGTGCATATGTATTCACCCCCTATGCTATGAAGCCTCTAAATAAGATCTGGTGCAACCAATTACCTTCAGAAGTCACATAATTAGTTAAATAAAGTCCACCTGTGTGCAATCTAAGTGTCACATGATCTCAGTGTATATATACACCTGTTCTGAAAGGCCCCAGAGTCTGCAACACCACTAAGCAAGGGCCACCATGAAGACCAAGGAGCTCTCCAAACAGGTCAGGAACAAACTTGTGGAGAAGTACAGATCAGGGTTGGGTTATAAAAAAATATCAGACACTTTGAACATCCCACGGAGACCATTAAATCCATTATTAAAAAATTGAAAGAATATGGCACCACAACAAACCTGCTAAGAGAGGGCCGCCCACCAAAACTCACGGACCAGGCAAGGAGGGCATTAATCAGAGAGGCAACAAAGAGACCAAAGAAAACCCTGAAGGAGCTGCAAAGCTCCACAGCGGAGATTGGAGTATCTGTCCATAGGACCACTTTAAGCCGTACACTCCACAGAGCTGGGCTTTACGGAAGAGTGGCCAGAAAAAAGCCATTGCTTAAAGAAATAAATAAGCAAACACGTTTGGTGTTCGCCAAAAGGCATGTGGGAGACTCCCCAAACATATGGAAGAAGGTACTCTGGTCAGATTAGACTAAAATGGAGCTTTCTGGCCATCAAGGAAAACGCTATGTCTGGCGCAAACCCAACACCTATCATCACCCAGAGAACACCATCCCCACAGTGAAGCATGGTGGTGGCAGCATCATGCTGTGGGGATGTTTTTCATCGGCAGGGACTGGGAAACTGGTCAGAATTGAAGGAATGATGGATGGCGCTAAATACAGGGAAATTCTTGAGGGGAAACCTGTTTCAGTCTTCCAGAGATTTGATACTGGGAAGGAGGTTCACCTTCCAGCAGGACAATGACCCAAAGCATACTGCTAAAGCAACACTTGAGTGGTTTAAGGGGAAACATTTAAATGTCTTGGAATGGCCTAGTCAAAGCCCAGACCTCAATCCAATTTAGAATCTGTGGTATGACTTAAAGATTGCTGTACACCAGCGGAACCCATCCAACTTGACGAAGCTGGAGCAGTTTTGCCTTGAAGAATGGGCAAAAATCCCAGTGGCTAGATGTGCCAAGCTTATAGAGACATACCCCAAGAGACTTGCAGCTGTAATTGCTGCAAAAGGTGGCTCTACAAAGTATTGACTGGGGGGGGTGAATAGTTATGCACGCTCAAGTGTTCTGTTTTTTGTCTTATTTCTTGTTTGTTTCACAATAAAAAATATTTTGCATCTACAAAGTGGTAGGCATGTTGTGTAAATCAAATGATACAAACCCCCCAAAAATCCAATTTAATTCCAGGTTGTAAGGCAACAAAATAGGAAAAATACCAAGGGGGGTGAATACTTTCGCAAGCCACTGTATTAGGCCTAGCCTATAGAAAGCTGATGGGATCCTCCTCTTTTAAACAGAGGCCATCACTCTGTTTTCTCGCGCAATTGCATAGCCTATAGAAATGTTGCGCAACCTGAGCTCATGGGCTCTCGTGAAAATCGTGTTTCATTCGATTTTCGATCACATTTGCATTGATGTCAGAGTGATTAGAGGGACAATAGAGTGCTGAGTACCAGGCAGTTAGCAGATTTGGTAGGCTACTAATGACCATCAACAGCATCAGAGCTTGGAGAAGCCTAATTACCGTGACTAAACGGTCATGTGGGATTTGACTGCCTTCATGACTCGTGACCGCCGGTGTGGCGGTAATACGGTCACCGCAACAGCCCTAGGTATGCCTTGGTGTTTTAAGCTATTAAAAATGTTATTGAGACAATAGGCAGACATTGCAATTGGAGGATGCGTTTTATGCATATTCTATAATGATATTCAATATCTGTCGGTACAAACTTTGAGAAATTATTATGCAATTTATTTGTATTGCTCTCCGGGGGGAGGGGGGTTACACTGCCTCGGGAATTTCCCTCAAAATCATCCTGTTGTCCTGCATTTGGATATTTTAAATGTGGTCACCCTAGATCTACACCACCACTGGTAGCAAGGAGCAACCTGTATTAGAGTTAATGTTTGCTTTGCTTTGCCCTAGCTCAGTGCATTAGCTAAATGGCATTTAGCTAGCCAGCAAGCTAGTTAGCGATTAGCATTAGTGATTAGTATTATTTTGCCGGCTTCCTAAGACTAACTAACTAGTATTTTGCAGAGTAAGACAAACAAACTAATAGTACAATACAGCAAACGTGGATTCATATTAAGAAGCAACGTGGAAAGGAGCGTCGTTCTTGTTTTGGAAGAATATTTTGACTGCATGCATTGATAGCATGCTGAGAGAATGTAAACAGCGAGGAACTGTGCTTCCTGCTTGAGTGACAGGGGGCTGGATTTGGTGTGCTGGAAGCACGCAGCCGCGGGAGGGGGAGAGAGGCATTTTTCGTGAGAGGCTTTCTCATTCCAGCAGCCAGGTGCAGGTGCAGCGGCAGGGCAGACACATTTATTACAGGAGTCATGAGGATAATGTACTTTACTGTTTGACAAATTATTGCCCTTATGAAAAAATATTGTGTCAGACTGCAGTACAACTGTAGTGTGTGTGTGTTTGTACAGAACGTGCCTGTGTGCACATTTGCATTGCTATGAAATATTGAAGCAGTGCTTTTGCAGGGTTGGGGTTTCGGGGGATGGGGAGGGAGTAGAAGAGTGTTTGGATACACCTGCAAATGGCAAACCTTAAAAAAGAATGACAATTCACCTCAGAAGGAAGCCAGAGGAGAAGATATTCCTCTTTCAAAAACCCTGATTCAAATCTGTTCTACATTTGCTTTGCAGTCTGACTCATCCAGAGTTGAAAAATAAAGGCAGAAACTGGAACCATCCTGCTCTCTGTTTCCTTTCAGCCATATCGCTGTAAATATTTCAGGCTGGTTTCAGCTTTGTCTTTTCCAGCAGCACAGAATAATACATTGCAGTGTGTGTATGTACAATAAGAACCTGACAGTGGAAGAAAGGATCTGCCCCAAGGGGCAAATGGAGCCAACGCCCAGAGAGCCATCAAAGAGGGCAGGGGGACGAAGGGAACAGAGCGTGGTTTTTGTTGTAGGGTAATCCTTAAGTCATGCTTAGCTGGTTTTCATTGGCACAATTTCTCAGTCTCACGTGGTGGGGAGTCAAATGCTGCCCTGTGTGCCGCTCAAGTTTCCCCCTGCAGGGGGCACATACAGTGATTTGAAAAAAGTATTTGATCCCCTGCTGATTTTGTACGTTTGCCCACTGACAAAGAAATTATCAGTCTATAATTTTAATGGTAGGTTTATTTGAACAGTGAGTGACAAAATAACAACAAAAAAATCCAGAAAAACGCATGTCAAAAATGTTATAAATTGATTTGCATTTTAATGAGGGAAATAAGTATTTGACCCCATCTCAATCAGAAAGATTTCTGGCTCCCAGGTGTCTTTTATACAGGTAACGAGCTGAGATTAGGAGCACACTCTTAAAGGGAGTGCTCCTAAGGATGTCAGGGACAAGATTGTAGACCTACACAAGGTTGGAATGGGCTACAAGACCATCGCCAAGCAGCTTGGTGAGAAGGTGACAACAGTTGGTGCGAACAAGTGTCAATCTCCCTCGACCTGGGGCTCCATGCAAGATCTCACCTCGTGGAGTTGCAATGATCATGAGAACAGTGAGGAATCAGCCCAGAACTACACGGGAGGATCTTGTCAATGATCTCAAGGCAGCTGGGACCATAGTCATCAAGAAAACAATTGGTAACACACTACGCCGTGAAGGACTGAAATCCTGTAGTGCCCGCAAGGTCCCCCTGCTCAAGAAAGCACATATACAGGTCCATCTGAAGTTTGCCAATGAACTTCTGAATGATTCAGAGGAGAACTGGGTGAAAGGGTTGTGGTCAGATGAGACCAAAATCGAGCTCTTTGGCATCAACTCAACTCGCCGTGTTTGGAGGAGGAGGAATGCTGCCTATGACCCCAAGAACACCATCCCCACCGTCAAACATGGAGGTGGAAACATTATGCTTTGGGGGTGTTTTTCCGCTAAGGGGACAGGACAACTTCACCGCATCAAAGGGACGATGGACGGGGCCATGTACCGTCAAATCTTGGGTGAGAACCTCCTTCCCTCAGCCAGGGCATTGAAAATGGGTTGTGGATGGGTATTCCAGCATGACAATGACCCAAAACACACGGCCAAGGCAACAAAGGAGTGGCTCAAGAAGAAGCACATTAAGGTCCTGGAGTGGCCTAGCCAGTCTCCAGACCTTAATCCCATAGAAAATCTGTGGAGGGAGCTGAAGGTTCGAATTGCCAAAAGTCAGGCTCGAAACCTTAATGACTTGGAGAAGATCTGCAAAGAGGAGTGGGACAAAATCCCTCCTGAGATGTGTGCAAACCTGGTGGCCAACTACAAGAAACGTCTGACCTCTGTGATTGCAAACAAGGGTTTTGCCACCAAGTACTAAGTCATATTTTGCAGAGGGGTCAAATACTTATTTCCCTCCCTAAAATGCAAATCAATTTATAACATTTTTGACATGTGTTTTTCTGGATTTTTTTGTTGTTAATCTGTCTCTCACTGTTCAAATAAATATACCATTAAAATTATAGACTGATCATTTCTTTGTCAGTGGGCAAATGTACAAAATCAGCAGGGGATCAAATACTTTTTTCCCTCACTGTATCTCTGATAGGACAGGGCTCAACCAGAGACAAAGCACATGTGGAGAAAAGGGCTGAGGTAGTCTTGAGAACCTTGGTAGTCAAGAAGCCTTTTGTTAAATAATTCAAGTTATTCATGGATTCAGCTAATATCTGTTCTCTGAGAGATTCACACTGATGGACCATTAGATACACGATGTGGTCATGGGCCTTGTTGAATCATTCCAAAATAGAATTATGATAATTTGTGTCAACTTCATTCTTTGCTTCCTTGTGCTTTTGTGTTCTCTGGCTGTGTCTGGGGAATAGCCTAGGCGCTGCAGCTGTTGCCATAGCACCGTCCTAGCTCGACTAGCTGACAGGAAGGAAGTTCTTCCTCGTGTTGCGTTTCGTCTCTACACAAGGGTCAAGGTTGGAGCTGGAGCCCTCTCTTTGAGCATGTCTCTTTTACACATATTCTGGTGACTGGAAATAATGGTTCCTCTTTTCTCAGCACAGCAAATAGGGTTGACTAGGGAAATGAGAAGGGTGGGAAGTTGATACGCTAAAGACATTGGTTTCTCAAGGCTGTCCACAACTACCTTCTCTGCACCTCAGTGATGTACAGGGGACTGGCGCAAATCTGAGATACCGAAACAGATTGAGAGAAAAAAAGTATATTTCATATAATTTTCAAGACATCAATGTAGCAGTAGAACAAATATCACAATATCGGAATATAACTTCAAATAAAATAAATCAATGTAGGCTACAGCAGAACACACATGAGGGTATATAGGCCTCCTGTCTATGTGATAATATGACGCACATATTCGTTTTTTGCTCAAAGCCATGAGCGGGCCTGTGGCTGTGACGTTTAGCCTCCTTCTACGGCTGTTCTGATGACTCTGGCTGTAGTCTTTTTAATTTTTTATTTTGACTGTTAACTATAACCTGGGTGTCCTCTTTAGTCTTGTCTACAAGGCTTGCTGCCATCAAATGCGCCTTGGTTCGAGCATGTTCAAAAACCTTTTTTTGTTTTTAAGTCTGAGGCAGAGGATGTTACTGTACATTCCACCCACTCTTTTGCTAGTTTAATCCCTCCAGTCGTTTCTAGGCCCAAGCTCCCTACCTTTTTGCATGTGGTACAGCCCAGCTTTGAATTCTGCATGACAAGCCAGGGGTCATACGTTTGCTTGTTCTTGAACTGCAAATTGCACCTGCTCCGAGCACTTCATTGGTGGATGGACTGCCCATCTCCCCCCCAGCTCCCCGTCTCCCTCTCCTGCTGAGTCTGACTCGCTAGTAGGCCTACTAGCTAGTGGAGGTGCCAGTGTTGATGCTGAACTGGTGGGATTAGCAGCGCTGCTAGCTAAGGCATCGCCATCAGGGACAGTTTGCCCCTCACTCCTCTCCTCCGGCACTGACAGTTCTCTGGCTCATTCTGGGTTTGATTCACCATCTCTCTCTGGATCTTTGGACCTTAAAAATGTAATCAAACTCGATTGCCTTTTCTTATCCTTTTTTTATTTGGCTTTCCCACGATTCAAATTCAGTAGGGACCTCTTCACTAGCTGACCACCACTACCAAGACCTGTGTCAAGATCAGTTACTTACGCCACTGGCCCTCCCCATAACCTCTATGTACAAATAAGCGAGCAGGTCTGGAATCAGTGTGGCAGGATAGGATGATTACACAGAAAGATCACCACACTTTTACATTATGGTCTTTCTGAGGGGTGGGAGGGAGAACGAGGAGGCAACTTAATTTTACGCTAATCGCTTTTATTAGAATGTTTACAGTGTGTACAGTGAAACAATTTATAAGTCATGCGACAATTTATAAGTCGCTCTGGATAAGAGCGTCTACTAAATGACGAAAATGTAAATGTAATGCCACGAGAGGTACCGGATTCGGGCAAATAGGTGCCGGAACTAACAAAGTCAAATATGAGAGTTCTGGCAGGATCCGGCTCAAATAAAGCACTGGTAGTAAGTGACAGAGCTTTTGCAGCTTAAATGTTCATACTGTTAGTTACTTTTGCTTTGAGTATTTCCCTCTATCTCACTGGCAGTCCTTTCTCTCGCTCCCACAGACGTTTTAGCCATACAGTGTGTGTTACCTATAGAACCTATGAAAACCATATTGTCCTTGCTTTCTGCCGGCCTTTCATGATTATTTTACCTTTAGAGCATGTAGCCCCACAGCCCCAGTCATAAAACAGTTTCTCACCCACCACCCCCCGTTTCTTCTTGGGATTCGGTGTGGAAAATTGTAGGTTAAATGGGGATGCTGTTGGGTGCAGCACATGAGTAAATGCCCCTGTATTCTGGCATGTGATGCAGCAGGATTTTGTCTTGGGTCGTTTATTCAGCCTAAATAGCCTCGGCATGGCATTGCAGCTTTTGAAGCCTGCATATAACTAGAATTCTAAACAAATATAGCCTGAAACAAAAAATATGATATTTACAAAATAGTTATTTTGAGTTTTATAGCGTTATTGTATGTCATCTTTTATTTGGGAGACAAATTATTATTTTTTTGTCACTACCATTGAACCAAGAAAATTCTAACTACTGGTAAATCATGTTTAGTTTTTTGCCTCAGCCTGGTTTCAGTACCTTGCCTTGTTTTTGAGCTATTCTCTCTTCAGACCTGCACTAAAAGTTAGTCACACTGCCGGCCCAGGGCTTATCTTTAGGCTATGCAAAGCTCTGTGCCTTAATGTAATCAGCTGTCAAACTGTGCACAGGGGTCGACATTAATGGTTGTCTTCTTGTCCGGGACAAGTAAAAAACAATTGTTGGACAAGAAGAATATAGATTTAAGTTGTCCGAATGGACAAGTAAAAAAATATCAAACAAAAATCACAATATAAAACAATTACTCCGACCAGAATTGGATCAGAGAAGCCAAATCTATTTTTCATGTACATAAATAAAAAAGCCTACATGTCAGTGTAGGTCATATGCATATTGTCCAAACCGTTGCTGACATGAGGGAGGCGCTTGAAAATGTAGGCAAACATTGAGGTTTTTTATTACATAAATATAGGCTAAACGCCAGTCATGTTTGACAAATATAATGAAGGATAATTAATATTAATGTCTAAAGGCTTGATTCTGTCGACATACTCGAGGCACAGTTCGTTCAGATCAAATGGTCACAAGACCGGAGAGTGAAGGACAGTGCCTGTTGCGCACTGCACATCACCCACCTTGAATCTGAGCGGAGGCAGTCAACATTTTGAAACTATTTAACCATAAACTGAATTGTTTAAACCCTGGACGTTTTATGTCATTTTATGAAGCATGTCTTACCTTGTTTCAAAGTAACCTAGCCTAGCCAAAATACGACCATATAAATGTTTAGGGTATTATTTTATAAACACTTAATATGCCATTTATATATTATATTTGTTTTCAAATCACTTATTTTTTTTTGTCCAGCAGCCAAAGGCATAATCCAAGTCATATTAGTAACCCATGCTAGTTGATGCATCTTTAGATCTCCCATCTTTCTTAATTTCTGACGGATATTTTCATCTCTGTCACATGAAACCGCTTGAGCGTGTGGTGCGCTTTTGACAACAGTGTTTTGCCGCTAATTGCATTTTGGAACATTCGTGCGTAGCCTACAGCCATGTGCGCATTGTTGAGTTTATTATATAAAGAAATACAACTTTATAATTTCAACTTAAACGGTCTGATCTGTTGCATCAACCTCATTGCTTTTTTATAAGGAATTATTTTATAAAGACATAAAAAGTATTTGGTTGTAATTGTAATATTGCAATATTTTATAGGCTACCAAGGGTGGCCAACCGTCCTCCAGGAGAGCCTTAAAAGGGGCAGTGTTGTATTTTGAGACAGGCTTGAATATGCAAAGAAGCCAATAGGCAGAGTGTAGCCAACATTTCTGTCTGATTCTCTATGGTAAAAAAAGATGGTAATGCATTTATTTTGTAAATTGGTTCCTTGCATCATACAATGGTGATAAGCCCTGGAGCAGCATTGTTGCTCTCTCTTTACAAAGGCATTCCATTCCATAGACTGGTTGTTTCTGATGCTGACAGGGCTCTTTCTCTGTCTGTGCTCAAGACTAACTGTGAGCTGAAGTGATCTACATCTGCTAATCGGTTTACTGTTAAAAAAAATAATAATAAAAATATATAAATATATATTTTGACTTCTGATTTGCACAACCTTTTGAACCTTTTTAGTGAATGCAGGGTCTGTTATTCCCAAACTATCCACATATTAAATACTGCCATTGGCCTATGTGGACGGTTTCATTCCAACCATCAGTCTCTAGTGTAGTCTGTAAACAATCCATAGACTGTTCCCCATTACCCCTTGTTGTTTTCAGGTCTAAAGGAACAGGCTAGGTTCCTTTTTAACCCCTACTTCCCTGGAGCCTTTTCCATCCTCCTCACTCTCAGGTTTCTGACCACTATCTCCCACCTTCCCTCTAGGCCAGAGGACGCTGCAGCACAGTGGAGACGTTCTGGACACCAAGGTGGTGGGGAACCCATCCCATGAGTTGGTCTGCTCAGAGGTGAGACTTAATTAGGCTACATCTCTCACTGTGAATGTCAGACCTTGGTGTTGAAGTCTTAATTCAGTTTCAAGGTAGATTGTGTGTAGTCTAAATTCCTTTTAAAATACTGGAAAATAAACTATGTTCAGAATGACAACAGGAATTTTACTAAGGTTTGCTCTGGTTTGCATAACAATTGCTTTGTCCTGAGATGGAAAGGATCCAATTGCTCAGATGACATCTGCATTACACACTGCCATCACTTTACACGGTTCTTTGCCCTGCCATCTGGCTCTCATTTCATACTGGAAATCATATCCTGTCATTGCTGTAATGAAATATAACCTTCCTCATTTGAACCAACATAATCTACTTTAGCCTGTGCTTGTCAGCTAATGCTTGTGATGCATAATGCACCGATGATATTTCAGAATGCATTCAATATTAGGGGAAATAATCTATTGTGTTCTCATCTGTATTCTGTATGAGCATATCTGCTGGTAAATTTAGGTATTTTTTCAATGTCATGGCTGAACAACATTTGCAGTAGGTGTAGTACTGTAAAGAGAATATGTCAACAGTAATTCCTGAAATATTTTCTCTGGGAAAGGATGGGGGGTTGAGGAATTTTGAATTTGAGATTATTTTTGCACCAGTAGCAGTAGAATGTTTCCATGGAGAGTTTGAGGGGCTGCCTTTTTATCATGACAATGTTAGCATATATGATCTTTTTTATTGATCACTTAAAAACATTTGTATGTAGGCTATACATTGAAATCAGCATCTGGGTTGATTGTGGCCTTTGGCACCAAAACAAATTGTGTGGAGCATTTTTATATCCGATCTGGCTAGTATGCATGTAATATGGATCGAAATTAAGAAAGGTTTATCTTGCCAAAACACAATGCTATGTTCCCTTTTTTATCATATTATAGACTGTAAACATAAAAAAAACTTGAATGAGGGGCCTTGTTTCTCTGTATTTTCAGTGACACTAAACACCATCTAAACTATTGCCCTATTTTGAATTGTATAGGCTACTAAATGGAGCTTAATTTTCATGACTACTTTTCTTTCCATTTCACTAGGTGCGCCGGCTTATATCTGATGTGTCTCGCCACAAGTTGTTGGTTCTTGCTGGACAATGTGTCGAAGAGGCAGGAGACCTGGTCCTACAAACAGGATGTTTCTCTCTCAGTGACTTCATTCAGATATTTGCTGATGAGGAGGTGAGTTAATATTTTACTGTAATATACACTGAGTATACCAGACATTAGGAACACCTTCCTAATATTGAGTTGTACATCCCTTTTACCTTAGAACAGCCTCAATTTGTTGGGGCATAGACTCTACAATTTGTCGAAAGCGATCCACAGGGATGCTGGCCCATGTTGACTCCAATGCTTCCCACAGTTCTCAAGTTGGCTGGATGTCCTTTGGGTGGTGGACCATTCTTGATACACGGGAAACTGTTGAGCTTGAAAAACCCAGCAGCCTTGCAGTTCTTGACACAACCGGTGCGCCTGGCTCTTACTACCAAACCCCATTCAAAGGCACTTAAATATTTTGTCTTGCCCATTCACTCTCTGAATGGCACACATACACAATCCCTGTCTCAATTGTCTCAAGGCTTAAAAATCCTTCTTTAACCTGTCTCCTCCCCTTCATCTACACTGATTGAAGTGGTTTTAACAAGTGACATCAATAAGGGATCATAGCTTTCACCTGGATTCAACTGGCCAGTTTGTCATAGAAATAGCAGGTGTTCTTAATGAGCAGGTGTTCTTAATGTTTTGTACAATCAGTGTATATTCTAAGTTACAGATTAATCTAAATTCAAAAGCATTATTAATAAGCTGGTGAAGTGATTTTACATCAAACCGTTCTATCTTTTTTAATAGATTGGAGAGTTATTGAGCTCGGCAGACCCCACACAAAAAGCTAGCCTCACGTTGAGTTGTCCCAACTCTGGGGTGTGGAAGAACTCAGTGTTGGAGAAGCACAACCTACAAGACTTCATTGACATCAAAACAAACCCGCCATCAGTGCTACCTGAAATGGAAGGTCTGCAGGAGTTCACAGAATACCTCTCAGAGTCCCTGGAGCCACAGTCTTCTTTTGAGCTGCTGGAGCCCCCCAGTACTGTGGGCTTCCTAAAACTCTCCCGCCCCTGCTGCTATGTATTTCCAGGTGGGAGAGGAGACTCCGCCTTCTTTGCTGTTAACGGTTTCAACATCCTGGTCAACGGTGGGTCCAATCCACGCTCCTGTTTCTGGAAACTGGTTAGACATCTGGACAGAGTAGACTCCCTACTCCTCACCCACATCGGTACTGACAATCTTCCAGGGGTGAACAGTCTTCTCCAAAGGAAAGCGGTAGAACTGGAGGATGAACAGTCTGCCGACTCTCAGATCAATGAGGACTGGATGAAAAATCTAATTTCCCCTGAGATTGGGATCGTTTTCCTTAATGCTCCAGAGAGATTGAAGTCATTCCAGGGTGATCCCGAAGAACTGCGGAGCTGCGATCAGGTGGCACTCACGTTGCAGCACCTTGAAAGGCTAACAATCAATCCAGAGCCTCTTAGTCGCTCAAATGGACCCACCATTGAGCCTGTTATACTTTTCCAGAAGATGGGAGTCGGTCGTCTAGAGCTGTACGTTCTTAACCCAGTCAAAGGCAGTAAAGAGCTTGAGGCTTTGATGAAGACCTGGCCCGGCAAAGGATCCAACATGAAAGGCTCAGAGATACCCCTGCCTTGCCTCGTCTCCATCTGTGCTCTACTGGTGTGGCATCCTGCCAGTCCTCAAGAGAAGATCATTCGAGTTCTCTTCCCTGGGTGTACTCCGCAGGCTAAGATTCTTGAAGGACTTGACAAAGTAAAGCATCTAGAATTCCTGAAACACCCCGCCGTGAGCCTCAGGGACCTTGAAGCATCCAAATCAGATAAACAACCAAAACGTGCAGAGAGTCGGGAGAGCCTTAAGTCCCTGCTCAAGGATTCAAGACCTAGCAGTGCCTTGCTGAAGGACAAACTTGGACGTGGGGACGTTAAGAAACAAGACGTGAAGACCAAGCCCAAGGGCCCAAGTGACATTACTCCTAAAGAAAAGAAGGAAGGGGAAGAGAAGTCAAAATTGAAGGATGGGGATGCTAAACAAAGACCTCCAAAACCTGAAAAGCTTATGACAAAGAAAGAACCTTTAAAGGATGAGAAAAAAGAAGGTAAAAAGAGGGATGAGAGAGCCTCTGCAGGTGTTGCCAAAAAGGATGAGATTGTGGAGAAAAAGAAAGAACCAATTAAGAAAGAACCTCTTGGTCTAAAACCAAAGAAAGATGTCAAACATGATCCAAAGAAAGAGATCAAGAAGGAGGTAAAGCCAGAGGAGAAGAAACCAACAAAACCTCTCAGCAAGGATGTCAAAAAAGTGACAACTGGACCTTCATTAGGAAACACAGAGGCAAAAAAGCCCTTAGGCAAGAATGGAACTTTGAAGAAGGATGCAATCCCCAAGAAAGACTCATTGAACAAGGGGGCAAAGTCAAAGACGGGTAAAATGCCGGAGAATCAAAAAGCTTTGGCCTCTGAAGGGGACGCTGATCGTTCCAAGATGTCAACGCCTGAAGACATGACAGCGGAATTTGAGAAGCTTAGAGCAGAAAATGGAGAGTCAGAGAAAAAGACTGCTGTTGTAGTGAGCACTATAGGTAACAATGAAGGAATGGTGCAACCTGCAACAGAGAATAGATCAAGAGAAAAGGCAGAGAAGAGGGACATGTTGGAAAGTCCAGAAAAGTTCCGCTGCATGGAGACACTCCCAAATCCAGAGAAGGCCCTGGGAACCACTTCACCTCTTGCAAAAACTCCTAAAAGTGACCGCAGTGTGTACTTTGATCTCACACCAACTGAATACAGGCTTCTTGATGGGGCCCTGAGAAATGGACAAGAAGATGCATGTGCCAGCTCAGATGAGAAGACTTTAGAGTTGGTCTCCCCTGCTGACTCAGCCCCTAATAGCGCTGGGCATACCCCTTTCCACCAATCACCTGAAGAGGATGCTCAGGGCTCTGGTGAGGACAGTAGTCTCGGGGGAAGGGTGCCTAGCCTTGGGTTTGAAGACTGCCACGTCATGGGTTCTTGCAGGAACTCTGAGGTAGGCTCCTTGAGGGGGAACCTAGAAAACTCTACATCATCACAGGACAAGCAATCCAGCCTTTTGACACTGAGTCCCTTTATGCTGCCTGACTCTGTTTCCGCCAATATTACCTCTATGCCTGCTGAAATCGGTTCCCCACACTCGACAGAAGTTGATGAGTCTCTTTCCGTGTCTTTTGAACAGGTGCTCCCATCGATTGATGAGTCACCCAAGGGAGACCATATGGACAGGTCCTACTCGAATGGGCATTTTGCTGATCCTGACCCCAAAATGGGGATGTCCTTACCTTTGAGGACATGTCATAACATGCGTCCACCAGGGGACGGCTCAGAGGAACGCCTTACTGGACTTCAGGGTCTTCTCCCTGACGTTCCCCATGACGTCGACCTCTGCCTGGTCTCACCCTGTGAATTCAAGCACCCAAAGTCCCCAGAGAACCAACAACAGCATCTGTCTCCGGGGCTAGCCACAGGTAGCCCGCGAGAGCTCTCAGGAAACAGCGACCACTCCCAGGAGCTAGCTAAGCCACAAAGCGTCATTAATAGTGATCGACATTCGCCACAAGGCCAGGAGACTCCACCCACATCTGCTAGTGAGTCCCTCAACACAGCCACAGATTCAGACATACCCCCAGGGACTGAAGACTGCCCCTCCATCACTGCAGAAATGGACTCTGATGAGGATTCTGGGAGTTTCCCACCCCACCATCCACACGACCATCCCAGCTCTCACTCCTCCAACAGAGGAGCTCAACATTCCTCTCAGGACCCTCCCCCAGCCCCAATGAAGGACCTGCCCCCCTTGCCGCCCCAGCCCGGTGCCTGCATGGCTGACCCCGAGGCTGATGCTCCAAGCAAGACCTCAAAGAGCGCCGCCGCAAAAACCAAGAAACCAGCCGGTGTCACACAGAGGATAACGTCAGCCACCAGTACAGCTCTGAACAGCAAGACCAAGACTGGCAGCACAACTGGTACATTGAAGACCACCTCAAGTCTTGACACAAGGCCTTCATCCCGCAATACCACTAATGGCTCCAGACCTGGGACTGCAAGGTCAACTTCATCAGGTAGGCACAGACAGTGTTTTACACTTAGAACGATGACGTTTGATCATCTTTTATTACTTGGTTTCTAAAATTATTTTACAATGCATTAGGAACACCTTTCCAGATACTGAGTTGCCCTCCCCCCCCCCTTTTGCCCTCAGAACAGCCTCAATGAATCAGGGCATGGACTCTACAAGGTGTCGAAAGCGTTCCACAGGGATGCTGGCCCATGTTGTCTCCAATGCTTCCCACAGTTGTGTCAAGTTGGTTGGATGACCAATCCATGTCTCTCAAGGCTTAAAAATCCATCTTTAACCTGTCTCCTCCCCTTCATCTACACTGATTTGAAGTGGATTTAACAAGTGACATCAATAAGGGATCATAGCTTTCACCTGGTCAGTCTGTCATGGAAAGAGCAGGTGTTCCTAATGTTTTGTACACTCTGTGTACATTGTCTTCTTATGCCTAACTCTGCTTTGTGTCCTGCAGGTTCTGTGGGCAGTAAGGCCTGTGCAGCTGGAGGGGCCCCAGTTTACTTGGACCTGGCTTATCTCCCATCTGGTTGTGCCTCTACCACCATTGACGTGGAGTTCTTCCGACGTCTGCGCTCCTCCTGCTACATCGTCAGTGGTAACGAGCCCCTGAAGGAGTCTGTCATGAGACCCATTCTTGACGCCCTACTGGAGGGGAAGACCGCCTGGCCCGATGTGCAGGTCACTTTCTCCCCCTCTCTCCACTTATTTCTCTTTTTCCGTATTTGTAGTAAGTCAACAAAAAAAGTATGTCTATGTACTCATGCTCTCATTTTGATTTGCCCTTCTACCTTTCCACTCTCAGGTGACCCTGATCCCCACTTTTGACTCACTGACGATGCACGAGTGGTACCAGGAGACCCACGAGAGGCAGGGGGAGCTGTGCATCACCGTGCTGGGCAGCAACAGCACTGTGGCCATGCAGGAGGAGACCTTCCCTGCCTGTAAAGTGGAGTTCTGAGAGAGCGAGAGAGAGAGAGCAAGACGAATCTACAGATCCCTGCACTCTCACCCACCAACGTATCTCACCCACTTTATCTTCTCTTAAATTATGATGGACTCATTTCCCCCCTCTAAACTGACGATTTCCCACCCCAGCATGCATCAAGTATTGCCTGGTGGATTAGCAGGCTTTGCTCCTCCTTTAAATCCTATAAATATAAAGAGGACTCCATCAAGCACTCCCATCTTTGCCTGGGTACGTCTATACCATGGAAATGAAGTCAGAACATGAAGATGTCCAAGAGTCTTTGGTCTACCAACATGAAGAAAGGTTGTTCATTATGAATGCTAGGTAAGGTGGACTTAGAAGACTGGCTATACTAATCGAAGGTCCTCATATTTCTTATCAGTAGCCAGGTAGTTGTGATCCAAATCCGCAACTGCTCAGAGGAAACTAGTCGACAGCTGTAGGAAACCCTCTGCCTCCATGGGGCTGAACTCCTGAGTTCTTCCTTCAACGATTAATCATTTAATCCGTATAGCATTTCATAGGTATATTTAGCCCTGCACCCATTTGCACAGTTATCAATTTCCACAGACAAGGGGACCGCAGTGAGAGAATAAGTGTTACAATAGAATATGATGTCCGTCAAAGGCTAAAAAAGGCAGAGGGTGTGTGTGAGGAGGTGAAGATGGGACCTTTGTTGTCTCCTGGTGCGCATGTAGAACATGTAGAGACCTCAGCACTTACTGAAGGACGACGACATGTTTCTACATCCTATTTGAGTTTCATAGACGGTCTATGAACATTATAAGGAGATAGCCAATGTCTTGGAAGGTAATGCTATGCGTGTGAACAGAAGGATTACTCCGACATTGATAAAATAATGAAGTCCATGTTTCAAGAAATCATGAAATGTGCGGCATTTTGTGTAACATTCATATCAGTCACTTTAACCCTTCATCTAGAGCACATACTGTGGGATACACTATTGACAGTGTCTTTTTAAATGAATTAACTTGGTAAATACTAAGTAATCATTTGTACTAAAAATAAATACTCGTACGTAGTGGTAGATGGAAAGCAATAGACAATTGAGTCGGTTATGTACCGACTCACATAACTGAATTACAGTTTTAGGACTGAGTAGTTATTTCATTAAAAAAATGCACTTTGACTGAAGTGTTAACAGTACAGTATATTTCCACACTAATTAACCAGCTTTTTAGCAACTATCCAAAACCCTATTTGAGTCCCTCCTCAAGACCAGAATAGTTTTTATCATAGAGAAGCTGCATGACGTCACCATCCTCTAATTGTAATTATAAACTGGGTGGGTTGAGCCCTGAATGCTGTTTACCACGGGTATGACCCCAACAATATTTTAGCTGTTCTAATTACGTTGGTAACCAGTTTATAATAGCATTAAGGCACCTCAGGGGTTTTTGGTATATGGCCAATAAACTACAGCTAATTGCTTCACTGCTTAAGAACAGCCCTTAGCTGTGGGATGTTGGCCATATACCACACCTCCTCGGGCCTTATTGCTTAAATATGCCATATCAATGGGACCACTGTATGTCACATGCATTATAGAGGGTAAGCTTCACTGAAGAGGGATACACAAAATGAGATAGGGAAGTCATGAGCAATACTTTGCAAGACAGTACGTTACATTTATCACAAATAGTGGTTATTATCGTGCCTAAGTGAACTAAAGTAAATGCTAAACATAAGATTTTTAACAAGAACGGAAAATCACAGTTATATCAGCAATCGCTTGTGTATCCGGTTAATTGCAGTGGAATGTAAATGGCGTTATCTGTGAATGTCGATGCTTTTAGCCTCAATCAAAGCAGATTTGAGTCCAAATGCATGCCAGCACTGCTTGCACTACCATGCCCACCACTTTGCTTGCAGACCAAGCACTCGTGTTATAATGCTCTTTGTTGCGAAGGATATTTTCATTTTATTCAAGGAGAAGGAATATGAAAGGATTTTAAATAAACTATTATTCTTTATTTTTTTTGTAGGCTTGAAATTATATTTTTAGGGCATGCCGAGTTGTACAAGCATGCAGTACTCACGTCGTTTTTTCTTAGTTTGTAAGTTAAAATCTAATTTGAATATAATGTAATATCACGTCTGGCACTAAGCAAACAAATGCCATGACTCTTTGAGAGTACAATGTACATTTGAAAATATCATGTGAAAAGGGTGTGTGCAGCCAGCCACATCTTGGCAAATCATAGAATTCCAATTATTTCAGACAGAAAAATGTAATGTCATCTGTTTTTCTTTTCTTAGCAATTCTATTTATTTGTTTTTTCTAAATTTAGTTTTCTGTATTTTTTAAAATTTATATCAATAATGTGGTGTGGCTACTTTATCACTTACTATCATTTGGTTAGCAACAGGCTGCTCACATGATATCATTAGCCAATGGCCGGACAAAGTAAGCAGAACATTGTTCTCTGGAAGAGTCTGAAATGGCAGCATGTTTTTTGGTACTAGCTATAAGTCTGAGCAAAAATTATTGAAAATGGATTGCATTAAATTGGTCACTTATTTGGATAGCTATTTCACACTAGTGGAGTTATGAAATATATCTCATACTAATCTTAACTTTTTTCAATCCATCATGTCTGTATTTGTGTGCACCATATATTCTATGTAGCCTCCTGTAGCTCAGTTGGTAGAGCATGGCGTTGCAACGCCAGGGTTGTGGGTTCGATTCCCATGGGGGGCCAGTATGAAAAATGTATGCACTCACTAACTGTAAGTCGCTCTGGATAAGAGCGTCTGCTAAATGACTAAAATGTAAATATCAAATTCTGCAGTGGTTTGGATATTGTGTGACTCTTACTCCCTCTGCTGTTCATAACATGTCTTGGCTCTGTTGTCAAAGCTGTGTCCCAGAATGTCAAAGCTGTGTCCCAGAATGTCTACTACCGCCTACTGATTCTCCCTCCTTGTGACAATATTTTGAAAGCCATGTTCAGTAGTATATTTGGCTCATTGGAATCCATAGCAATTATGCCCAAAAAGTTCTAAAGAAAGGCCCTGTGTTTGTCTGTTTCCATCCCTGCCCCATTTGTGTTTGTCTGTTTCCATCCCACGGGGGGCCAGTATAAAAAAAAAAAAAAATGTATTCACTAACTGTATGTCGCTCTGGATAAGAGCGTCTGCTAAATGACTAAAATGTAAAATGTAAATGTAATTATAATACAACTATTCGAATGAGATACCTCTTGTCCAAATCTGAGGCTCTCCTGCGCTTCAGTCACAATAAAAGTGACCGTAGCACTTTGCATGGACATAGGTGTTCATATCTGTAAATCACGCCGCAACATAACTAAACCCATTGAGATTAATATGCTCTATTGCTCTTTGGCAACCAAATTGAACAGCACATTTTGGGAGATGGTACATCATTTCTTTGAAGCCTTTATATTTCAGTTTTTGGTGCTATATTTTTATACTTATAGACACCTCTTTTCCCTTGCACTTATAAATGTATGTTTGTCTATTTCAATAACCTGTTGGTGGTTCACACATCACTTGCAAGTGTCTGGAATTCACCCAGGAAATGCTATGAATGTCTGTAAAATTGTCATTAGATTGTTTCTGCTGGTTTTGGCAGTGTTAAGTGAGTGTGGTCGTTAGTTGAATAATGAAAGGGTGGATTGATTCAGTATTGAAACACTAATTTTAGTTTTTTCTCTTTTTCCAATACATATACCCCTTTTATAAATCTGTGCTTAATTGGTGTTGTTTCCCTGACTTTCAACTTTCATGATTAGAACCTGTGACCTGATCCCTATCCCAGTGCCTAGTCTACTGCGTCAGTAGGGGGTAGGGCACCACTCCTTTTTTCACTAGATTAGAAATGTGATTAGTTATGTTGGAAAACAAAACCTGCATTGGGATTCGAACTGGTGACCTTGGCTGTCATAACCTGTGTTTAACGCCCTCCATCCACCACCAACCTGCCTTGTATCCAACCAATCACATTCGTTCTGCCAGTGCCCTGGAGGCGGAGATGCCCTCAGAACAGGTTTGAGGCCAGTGTAGGGACTGATGGTTTCTACAGTTGTGGCTAGATGGAGTACAGCTCCATCTAGTTGTTGTGTCAGGGACAACAGTTGTTGACAACTGTAGCGTTTTAGCTAAGCCTTACCCTAACCCTTTTCCTAACCTTAACCTCATTCTCCTAACCTGCTACTTTAATTATCCTAACCTGCTGCGTTAGTTCTCCTAACATGCTACATAAAGTCACTTCTGTCCATAGCTGAACTCCATCTATCTAGCCACAACTGTAGAAGCAATCAGTCCCAACAAACCATCAGTGTCACCACACCGGGATTCAATCCGATAGCGGGATATAGGCTTTGCGGCTTTTAAAGGCAATGTTCCCACGTTCGCGAGATCACGGTAAACGCTGCATTTGTCGGCTCAATCTGAATTTTCCTTTAAAGGGTCGATCAGCAGTTGAAACAATAACAAAGCAGGCACACCCGCCACTGTTTCGGTAAAAAGCTGAGGGATGGGCCTGGAGAATGTCATTACTCTCAAATTCATTGACAGAGCTATGGATGCAAGGACTGACTGTCCACGATATCAAAATCATAGCTTTGAGGCTATACATCGTTTTTTACATTTACTTTGTTTACAAAACAAGCTTATGCACTCTATTCAATCCGTAACATGGATGTTCAGCGTTACAGCATGATTGAAATTTAAAGGCAATGTTCCTGCGTTAGCGGCAAATGTTGGCGTTTAACATTTCTATCACACAATCTTTAATGCTTCAGCGATACAGATTGATTAGAGCCCTATATTTTGGGTTCTGATGGGGTACGACTGGTAAACTAAGCTAATGAGGCATTTATGAGTTATATTCTTCAAGAATCAATGGGTACATATCATTAATTTACGTCCAAAAATGTATGTAGCAAATGCTGAATTGCCCCTTTAAAAGCTGCATTGTCGACCATGCGAGATCGGATTGAAACTCAATTATTGTCCGTGTTCGAG